CCATGCCCAGCAACCCCCCCCCCCCTGCTCGTCACTATGCTACCATAATAATACTGGACTACCCCAATGGATCCTGGAATAACTGCGTCATTGTTATTTCAGGGGCAATAGGGACTTGCCCCCCCCGATACTTTTTCAAAGTCGGCGCCTATGGAGAGAGAAGTGGGTAAAGCTCTTCTCGTATCTGCATGAAGACGCTGTCCCAGCACACTTCTCGATCGATGTCAGTTTCAGCCACAATGATAGAAGGGAATATCGCGTACGATAGCTGGAGACATGCCTCAAATTTATCTCAGACGAAATATCGCGTCTCATTGGTATGCATCGCTCCATTCAAAGCAATATTTGCAAAAAATGTACGTACAATTTGTATGCTACTCGTCAGAGACGTGTCTCCTACATGCGTCTTTTGGGTATGCGACGGCACTTCCTGCTACAACACATCACCTTACAGGGAAAAGACTTGAATGTTATATGAATTGATGCTCCCCGCACATGCAAGACGGGCTTGTTTGGAGGCTTCCCGAGGCTATTTGAAAGAATAGACTTGCTGATTTCAGTTCCATGGTCTCGTGCGCGTAAAGGAGCCGCTTTCTTTCGGTAGAAACATGTACAAAATACGTAGTGTCTTTGCAATAGTTTCAACTACTGGTGAAACATCCACGGATCTTTAGGCAATCAATCCTCGATATAACGCCATTGTTAATCCTTGTCGATTTTGGAGCTATAACGAGGATGGCATTATATGGAATCGACGACAGTGCGCAAGTAACTACGATACCTAAATTTCCGAAGAACAAATTAATTAAATGAGTGCGAAGCCTCTTTTGCTATCCTTCAACCCCACCGATATTCCACCCTTTTATTAAATTCCTGAGGCTTGTTTCTCGCCTCTGCTAAATACTAGTCTAAATCTATATCTAATATTTAGCAGAGGCGAGGAACAGACCCCTGGAGGTGGAAACCAGTGATGAGTATAAGAAGAGGAACAATAGCCCAGGAAAGTGCTCTGATTTTAATTACACGGGAAATTACCCATCCCTTATTGTGCGTTGTCTTACAGAGGGTTGTTTGGTTCCTATGGTAACAATTTTCACACAGCACTGCGCCCGTCCTGGTGAACATTCTTCTTTGCCTCGGAGCTTACAGCCTGAATATACATCTTGCGTTTCTAGCAAGTCGGTTATTTCAGGGAAATGAGTCAAATTTCCGGCGAAAATCGATCCTATGTTGGCAGGCTATATGACTGCACTCTTCGACGTTAACTATTCATATTCAGCCATTGTAAAGCAGTGGAAGAAGAAAGGTTCAAGCGTATCAGTGGAAGGGGGTTGGGAAAGCTCTAACTGGGGTTTTGCCAAAGCGCCAAAAACACAAAAATGTTTTATTTTTCACATTTTCTCGCATTCAAGAGCGCAAAAACCCCTGCCCGAAAGTTCTCTGAACGCCATCTTTCTAGAGAAAAATGGAAATATGTGGCGACTTTGGATGAAGCCTGGATTCACCTGAGTGACTGCAGCAAGGTTAGGGCCATTCATTATGTTCCTTGGGGTGAAGAACATTTTCAGAAGTGGTACTGCGAACTCAAAGAAACTTTTTTCAAAGATTTAATTGTCGTTACTTGTTATTTCTATGACGCCAAAATGAAAGTGAGAAAAGTGCCACCAAAAGTGAAATTGAATTCTCAATAGTATCAGGATCGCGTCTTAAAACTTCTTTACGAGCTGGAAATTCCCAGGCTTTATTAAAATGCCACCTCTCTCGTTGAGGTGCATCAAGACAAAGCCTCCAGTCACACTTCTGCTTTAACAAGACCTTTCCCCAAGAAGATGGAGGAGACGGTCGAAATTCGTGCCATTCCATATTCAGACATCCCTGTCAGGTCTCCCGATGCGTTAACCATGGATTTTTGTGGCTTCGGTCTCCTTTAGAGACGCTTTGGAAGAAGGCGACCGAAGAAGATAAATGGACCCTGGAACGCTTGCAAGAAAGAATGGGAGAGAATACCTCTATATTTACTGAGGATGAGCCTCTTAGAATGGAAAATGAGATGTCGGACTAATGTTAGGATGTAGGGGCATCAGATCGAACATGCTAGGTGGTTGAGAAAATAAAAGTAATCCCATGTACATCTTGTTAGTTCATTACCATAGGTACCAAACAACCCTCTGTAGCATACTGCTTTCGTCTTACCACCGTGCGTAATCAAAGTTCTCATCGAGTTCTCGCACCCTCGAATTTAGGGAGGAAAAAAAAAAGGGTAGCTCCGATGCCGTGACCAGGATTCGAACCTGGGTTATTGCGGCCACAACGCAATGTACTAACCACTATACGATCACGGCTGCCGTGGAGCTATGCATCTTTATCTTGAAATCAAACTACTAGAACGGTGGAACGAGAGGTGCATGCGCGTACGCCTTTCGCGGCCGAATGCGTGCGTGAGTGAAAGATGAGAAAGCGGGTCAATCCCCACTCGATTGCGAAGCCGTGCCGCGATCGCACCGTTACAAAATGGGTTTCCTTTCCGAGTTCACACATGCCACCGTGTAACCCCGAATTTATCGTTGAGGAAGGCTCGCGAGACGAAACCGATGGCTTGCGTGGGTCTGGACATCTGCTCGAAGAAGACGAGAGAGCGAAAACGCAGGAATGGAAAAGATGCGTCGAGGCATTTGAAGACTTCTCGCTTGGCATCTCGTCTGCCAGTGTCAGCACGACGACGTTCGAGAAGTCTGGAATCGATGGCCGTTGATCGATGACGGTTCGTAGACGGCCGAGCCGAAGATCATGCAGGCAGGGCTGCACACGAACACGAAGGAACCAGGTTTTCCGACGTTCCAAGGACTCCCGAGAGGATGCTGTGCATATGATCTGACCTTTAGAAACGCATCCTGCGGCCGTGGGGTGCGACACGATAATTTTCCGAATTCGAGTGAGGGCCACCGCGTTCACCGTGATCCGCTGCCGAGTTGGGAACGATGACGTAAATATGATCGGAAAATAAAAGTATTTTCATGGATGTTCTTCGGTCCCAGCTGTGGACCTCGGGCATCAGTACGTCTCCCATATAGCCGCATTCAGTTACTGTACCGAGGGGGAAACGGGATGGAACGCCCGACGCAGCCTGGACCGTGGGATATCTTATCGATTTTTCTAAGCCTTTTTTTTTTGTCCAAGACTACAATTTCCCGTCTGGCAACGTCATTGTTCTATCATGAGCTCAACGTGCGAAACGACTGCGGTGAGCTCGCATCGAGCATCGCAGATGCCGTCCCATATCGAAATGCTGGGGAGAATGGCGTGCTATGACTCTTTAAACTGACTGCAGGGCATCAGAGTGAAACGTACTGCATAAAGTTATTTGTCTCGCCTGCTACAGCCGATTGAAATGGCCTATATATACAGTATCTCTGATGCGTATACTTTTTCTATGCTTAAGGCATTCACGAGAAAGTGCCATGTTCTAGTACCATAGAATGCCCTGAGTTTGAATATAGTTTTCAAGCTGACATTTTTGTTGTCATGTTGTCTTCAGAGGTTCCTTTTAATATCGCTAGAGAGCGAGAAACATGCAATTTTTAAAGGTGTTTTCATTACTTGACCATAAAGAAGAAACTGGCCTCCCCCCCCCCCCCTAAGAGACTCGTCCCTATGGGCGCTGAACTGGGGAGAAAAAGGCCCCCCCCCCCCCCCCCCCCCCCCCCATGTGCTTGCTGGCCTTTAGGCCTGGCGACGCGCACTAACTTAACCCCCCAATAACCTTGGAGAGGGTAAACAAGAGGGGGATTGTGTTTACTCGCCTTGTTGCAACTAACAATATCTGTCAGAAAAAGATAATATTTCCTCAGGCAGTATAGACGTTTTGTCCGCAACTGGGTGGGCAATTTTGAGAGATGGGTGGGTAGATATCTCCCAATTTCTTCGCCAAAAAATGCAATCCGATCGCCTGTGCGACACATACAAGTACTTAGCAGAATCGAGTTTATTAAAGCCGGAAACAGGCGGCTTATGGAGAATCACATGATGCTGCAACGTAATGCTTATGAATGGCCAAAGGAGGACATTAACAACCAGGAGCACAGGAACAGGAAGAGGGAAGCTTGAGGGCATGGGTGATGAAAGATCCGTCCTCACAACTCAATCTCACCGAGGTATCCTTGAATCTCTCCGGTTGACAGCAATCGCACACTCGCTTGTAGGATCCTAGCACTGGATCCAGATGAAAATACGCTTTCACCGTGTCAAAGGGATAGATTCAAGGAACTATCACCTGATAGGTACCTGAATCGAAAGTGGCCGTGGAGAAGCAATTCCCAACGCAGGAAGCCATTTCTGGTATGGGGTCCGGATTCTTGCACAAAACGCCCTTCTTTGCTGGGTGTTGGACTCGAATCAAACCCTGCGTCTCGCTTCCATTCACATATTCTTTCACGCAATTTCCTGTTTACAATGGAGTGAAGAATCGAACTGCTTCCAAGTAGCAAACAACGTAGCAAGCCTCACCTCAAATTCTCATTAAAAATTATAACAAGAGAGATGCCGGAACAAGACCCCGCCACGGAAGAGCGATTCACGTCCGAATCTTTGATATCGATCGAGAGGAATAAGGGAGACTCACGAAGCGATGAACCAATGTGTTTGCAGAGTTGACAGCATCCCGTGGGATCCGTATAAAGCTCCTCCGGTGGACATCCTGAGTCCACCAACGGACACTGAATCTTTTCCCCCTTCGACACCAGCTGCAGGATGGGCTCATCCTCCGAATTCCGAACGCTACCTGGGATGACTGGAAATAGAATGAGACTTACGGAAGCCTCATCGGGGGATGGAAGACAGATGTAATTCCAGCAATGGTCCGGTGAAGTCCACTTCTCTCCCATCCCTCTCAAACCTCCCGCTTCATCTATGCATGACACTTGGACGCACCTCCCACAGCATTTGTCTCTTTCAATCGTCTCATTCTTGTATACCCAACCCTGTCAAGAGACGAATGTGAGACGTGAGGCACTATTGCCTTCGTCGTTCTGGTGATAAACGTGTCTTACCAAGGAGCAATTGGTTTGACATCTATCCCTCACTTCTAGTCGTTCCACCTTACCTTCTCTAACAATGCACTCGTATTTGAGGCATGGATCCTTCGACTTCCAAGAACTCCCTGGCTGTTGCAATAACAAGACATTAAGTCGACTCTAATGGAATCGGTGAAGCAGCAGCAGGAATGGATATGAAACCTACTGGATGTGGGAGATTATTATCATCTTTACAGGCGACCCGAGCGAACTTTGGACAGCATGCATTCGGTTCCAGTTCCTCGATCAGCTCGTAAATGTCCCCAAATAGGTCAGTTGCATTTGGGCAATGGATATTTTCACACTCCGAGGTCAATTTCCCAGCTCCTTTCTCTATGCAGCGGCATTCACGGCATAACCCGTCTTTCCACGTTGTATTCACCTGTACAGACGGCAATCGGCCAAGCGTAACGTCACTCTGTCGAGTCAGCCAGATAATTATTACAGCTGTAGCCTGAACCTTATAGAACTTTGGGGCGTTGAGAGGATTCTGAAGTTTGTGCTGGAAGCCTTGGATATCCACTGAAAACTGGTGCTCATACACGCATCCATCCTTAGGTGGATCTAAATATCAAGTACAATGGTATTGTCAAGTCGAGTCCAGGGGTATGAATTTCCATATTGTCTTCCTCTCGATCGAAAGATTTTCCTTGGTTCTTGACTGACCGCATGTAAACTTTGGGCAGCAATGCTTCTCAGTGGATGGGATGATGCTCTTTCGGTGGAAGGGAGGACATTGCGATTCGGCCGGGCACTTGTCCTTCCTGCAAATCACTTCAAGGCGGGGACAACAGCCTTGTTCATTCAGCACCCCCTCCTCTCCTTCGTTCAAGGTCGGACTCTCCAACGGTGGACAGTTCGACTTCACCACGCATTCTGTGAACACCAGTTACACTGACCTCTGGCAAGCCAAGTTCTCGGAAGAAGTGAGAAAGAGAGAGTCAAACCGCATGCAAAGGATGGACATGTATCTTTGCTTTCAATCAGATGAAGTTCCTGTCCGTATCCACAATCTGGTTCTACCAATTTCGGACACTCCGACCGCTTCTCAGGTTCTGCAACAAATGATGTGCGTATTCTACCATTCTCTTTCGGGATAGGAGTGAAAACGGATGAAAGAAACAGACGACATGTTAGACGAGGACAGCAATGGTCCTGATCTGATTCAGTCTTGAGTCGATGTCCTGACAAACATACAGGAGGAGTTGGGCATATCTCCTTCTCGCATTGCGTCCCATACTCTGTATGAAGACCGAATGCAGTAGGCCTTTGTGGCTGAACATGCGGATGGGTTTATTCTGACTGTGAGTCTTACCATTACAGGTGCACTTGGTGCAAGGATCTGGCTTCCAGATGTCTCCGAAGAAATGGTCGTGGCCGTCACAAGGAAGACACTGGCTCTCGTTCACGCACGTACCAGGTTTCCATAGGGCCTTTAGAAGGAAATCCGATTCGGGAGAAAATATTCAATCTGGGACGAATATTCATATCTGGCAATAGGCTTTACTCACGGTTCCAGGTGGACAGAAGCAACCTTCTGATTCCTGCAGGAAGGGACAATGCTCCTCCGAACCCTGCGTCATGTCTAATCGAACCTGGATGACTTGGTTGAAAAGCGACATCATCTCATCCTGTATCTCCTTGCACGTCCGGATGCATTTGGGGGCGCAGGCTCTGTACTCCATGCCTAAGGAACGCAGAAATCTGACGTTGCCTCATCTTCGAGTCTTTATTCGTTAGATATAGGGCAAAGTTACCAGTGGGACACTCTGAGTAAGGACAGAACTTAGAAGTCCTCCAATCCAAGCAGATTCCAAGCCCGGAACAACGCCTTGCGTATGCAGCCATCACTTGACATACAGCTTCTTCGTAGGAGACGTTTTGCAGGTTCTTGCAGAGAATCTCATGGCATGCTTTCAAGTATGGACCCGGATCCTCCAATGGATGACACTGTTTCCGAGTATAAGAGGTCTCCACATATATATTCAGTTGAAGAACCCTCTGGAAGGATGCAACTAGGCGTAATTGCTTACACTGCCGAAGATGTCTTCATTTAGGAGAGGGAGACAAGGGTCCCGGGAGGGGGATGGAAGCGGACATTGGGGCAAAGGACCCACTGCGCATTGTTTTGCTGCCCCATCCATTTCCCAATTCTGCCATCTCGTCGCGAATTCGCTCACGTTCTGGGTCAGGATATCGTCATCCGCCCTCCCATTCATGTTCCCTATTCAGGAAGAGAATGAATTCACTACAACTCATGTATCTGTAATTCTGAAAATCGCCTGCGAGAAAAAATATTATTCCTTGTACTCACCGCAAAGTCCTTGTACGGAGTTTCCATAGAGGGAGGAGGGAAGTTGAATGAAGAAACCTTTGATTCGAGGTTGGAAGGTGATTTCGGCATTGAGCAAGGGATAGAAGACGGAAACCTCATCCCCCGGCCACGTGGAGACCAAGTGGAAGTCATCATTCTTTATCACCCCCTCTCCCACTGCTTCGTTGCCCAGGAGTGTTTTTCCCTGTCAAGGACCATGCATGAAGAATTTCCAAAATTTAAACTATGATTCGAAGAATGCAGGAAACCACTCACAGGAATTAGGCGAGTCGTGTGGTTGCCAATAACTATAGTCAGGACTTGGAGACAGGTGAGATCGGTTCCACAATTATCGTTCCTCACCAGAACCTGAAATAGTATGCCTACTCTACGTCATTCCTGGCTGATTATTCGAAGAAGACCAGGTCACAGACCCACCTGGAATTTTTCATGCTTCAGAGCGGTGTATGTGCAATTTCCATTGAAGCTGAAAGGTCTCCGATCGAAGGAGAAGTACCAGGGATCTCCAAAACCTTCGCACACCGCTGCAATACATTCATGCTTTTAAGGTGCTCAATATACATTCTTCGATACGTATCATGACTCGGCTGTGGGTCAAGAGACAAACCATTTCTGCACTGTTCTCTGGGGATGCACTTTCCCTGAAGGCGTATAGTCCCTGGGATGCAGAAGCACCCTAAATGACACCTTCCAGATGTATCCCCACAGGAGGGCACCTCGATGACACCTGACATTTGACACGTGGGGTCACATCTTCCTTCTCCCCTACACTCTTGCTTGTATTCCTCGTTCGGGCCACATTCTCTCGCACCATCTCCAAAAGTAAAATATTACCCATTGCCTATGAGGAAAACACTGGATGGTCTTCCCCTCAACAGATATAATGCTCACCACATTCGCTTTCTTTCGGTCCAATTTCCTCTCCTTTCATCAGACATTTCTCTGCCAGATATTCTCTATATCCGCATCGGCATTGCTCGACTTGGGTTGTATTCCTTAGGCATCTGCAGCTCGCCTTGAGGCAAGTTCGCAAGATTTCATCAGATGAAAGCTTGCTCAGACAGGTCTTAATGGCTTCCGTCCTGAAAGGATGGGACAAACAAGTGAATGCAATATCCCTAACAGAGGAATTTCTCAAAGGGGGCTCACTTCATGATGGTATCGCAGATCTGCGTCGCTTTGCTTTGAACTTCGCTCGGACATTGGTGTGGGGTGCAAGACTTTTGAGACAGAGACCATGATTTTGCGAATTCTGAAGAAGATCCCGCGATGGAACCCTTCGGGGTTCTTCTTTCATCCGATGGATCCCCGTTAAAAAAGCCACACATTCCTTCCACTCGTCCAAACTGAGTCTCAGACATCTGCATATTTTTCAAATTCATCAACGGAATGCAAGAGATAAGGACATGAGTAATTCATTGGTGGGAAAAATTTACCTGGATGTGAAGATGAAGGAGAGAGCCAGACCTGAACCAGATCTTAAATCCATGGCGAATGGATTCATAAAAAAGGACATTCCCAGATTGATGCACCGCGAACTTTCCTTTCAAGACTCCGATCCGTTGGATCTACGGTACAGGATCTGAATGGTAATAGACCTAAACTATTCCATGCTTAACCTCCCTCCCCCCCCCTTTGCACCTGTTCAAGGTGATATCGACGTCCAAGGTAGAAGATTTGCTTGGAGGAGTGGAAGGTGACTCGATAAGAATCTTCCTCGATGTGAATGGCATTCCAACAATCCGTCTCCTCGCACACCATCTCCACTGTTTACAGATTCCCTATTTCAGTGTACTTCATGCAAAAAAAGTTTCAGTAGCAATAAACGGAATAATACATGAAATGTTCCAAAGGGGTGGTGTTGTTGCAGAATCTCTGGCCAGTACATGATGACAAAAATCCGCCTCCAATTTCACTTCGTCAAACGTCTTGATTTCGTCCTCGACAATGAGACAAGAACCGTTTCGAGGTGGAATCGATTCTGGAGTCGTCGTTGCTTCGATAACAAGATTTCATCATGCATGTCATAGTGTACTTCATAACTGGGAACACGATGTACGGTTTCTCTACTTACCGATTTTACATTCTCGTTCGTCCTCGTCGCAATCCTCGACCCCATCGCACCAACGAGTCTCATTCAAGCAGATGTTGGAGCCTCGGCACAGCCTTGTTCCTTTGGAGCAAGGTATGCACTCGCAATCGCATCGTTCCAAGATCCGAGATACCTGGCTCTGGGCGTTCTGAACGAAGAATTGAAAACTTACTGCGAAAATGCATATGACCCAAAAGAAAGTATTCGAAATTTGATGACTTACTGACGGACAGGGCTTGCAGATCATCGGTCGACAGTTGGACGCACCGTTCAATTCACACAGGCATTCGTCACAGTCTTTATTGTGGAACACGGATCCGACCTTATAACTGAAGAAAGCATTCATGATTGCACCCATATTATTTGATTCCGATCGATATCTTGATGTACGAATGTGTAGGTACCTGTATCCAGACGAAAAACATGGGCAGAGGGACTGAGGAACACAGGTTTCTCCATTCCAAAATAAAGTTGGATCGCTACATTTTTCGCATCCCTGCCTCGAGGAACTTTGAGGTAACTCCCGACAGACACGGCACGAGAAGGGGGGCTCCGTACTCGGCTTGGACGTTGTCACCTTCCCTATCGTACAATAGTGAGGAGAATTTGTAGAATTGGAGGAGGTATCAATGTATCAATAAGTAGAAGAAGGATGACTTACGATAGGGCTGATAGCAGCCCAGGACCTCGATTTGCATGAAAATGTGTTGGCCTTCCCAGGTGAATGGAAGGATCCGAATGTACCTCGTTCTCAGAGGCTTCTCAAGAAAGATACTTCTCTCGTCCTTCGATCCCAAGATCTAGAAAACGAACACTTCGTAAACTAACTTTGGTTCCTTCAAAAAGACAAGTATCATAGAACAGCAGAGTAAGAGTATTTACCTCCTCTTGACCAGAAACGTCTGTGACCGTGTTCCAGAGTTTCCCGTCTGCACTGAACCTGGATTAGAACGAAGTAGGGAGTGAAGCACACCCAGGGAATGCTGAAATAACGATGGCAAACCCGAGAGAAAGAGTGAGAGAGGGATATCGATTTACTTAATTTTGAAGCTGGTCACTCGGTTCCCTTTGTCCACCGGATCCCCATAGATTTGGAACCCAGTGACTTCTCGAGGATCCAGAAAATCGAACTAAAAAGCAAGAGTAAGAGTATCACCAGCATGAAGATATGACTCTTTGATATATTCATAAAGAGAAAGTCACCTGTATGTATTCAGTCCTGGAATCAGTGGAAGGCCTCCAGGGCATTGTTGCACCTGGACGCACAAGGCTGGCATTCCCCCTCAAGGAGGAGGAAACTACGATCATGGAATCCTCAATTTCGCCATTCTTTACCCCCATCGCATCTTCGCATTTCGGACCTTCAAAAGAGACGGATCGGTCATGCACGACCTGCTCATCACGGATGGAGTCGTAGAGGCCCCCATAACGACCTGAGAGAGTGGTGGTAATGGAGCTTTCTGTGGTCATGTGGACGACGTCTTCTGGGCAACCCAGCAAGTCCACTTGTAACTCCAAGTGATTAATCCACTTGAGCGGATTCACACGAATGTACCGGGCCTCGAATGGGACTTTGAAGAGATGCCGAATTTTCGAGTGAGGGGCCAGGGGACCTGGAATCACCTGCTCAACGACTTCAACGCGTTAGGGGTGCAAAGACCAAGTATTGATATATCCCAAGACGATCTAGATTAAGCTTAAAAACATGAGGGAATGGAGGGGAATAAGCTTCAACTGCTGAAATGCTCCAGTCGAGAGATCTAAGAAATACCCATTCTCACCTGAGGGGATCCGTTGGAGTGACTAAGGAAGCTGAACCAAGATCCATCTTTGCTGTATTGAATATGAACAGCGAGGACGTAACCAGCCTTCCCGACCAGAATCATCCCATGGATCGCCTTTTGTTCCCCTAAGTCCACCTGAAGATATTGATCTCGATTTTCAACGCCGGCAATCCATCCTTCGCCACCTTCCGGAATGAACAGTAAAATGATGATTCGGTTGTAGCACGCGAAATTTCATAATGGAGTCATGCGAAGAGTCCTGGCTTACCTGAACTTAATCGAGCTTTCTGCGGTCCACTGTACGGAGAGGCACTACTACTGGCCGAAAATCTGGAATCCGACAGGTCCTTAGTCAAGGAAATAAGTCTGAAAACATGTAGATTTTTGCGCATATCGATCATTAAGTAATGTCATGTTTTAAGTAGGGCTGTCACGATAGATCGATGCATCGATACCACTGTCGATGGTTGGAGGTATCGATTGTTTTCTGAACCATCGCGATGTATCGGCAAATGATTTTAAAGGGGAAATGTCCCATTGCATTGGATTGAGGCGAGTACAGTACAATACAGTCCGTCCGGGCGGCGTGACTCGCATGGGCGAGCAATTTCTTATCACGATCAAATTCTGGAAATTCTGGGACTGAGTATACGAAAGACGGAAAAGGAAAAAAAAAAGTTGAATCGGAGACAGGAAGAGGGAAGGGTGAGGGAGGGAAGACCAATATTATTTTCTCTTCATTCATTCTTCGGCTCGATTTCATTAGGTGCATGCTGCGAAAGTGGACTGTTCTTATACTCCCTTGATTTTGAAACGTACATTGGTTAGTCCCCCTCTATGTATTCCTGTCTTTCTCTTTAGTATGGAGGCTTACGTTTTTTAATTTTTAACTTGCCCCGGGGTATTTTACCTCTTTACCCAAAATGAATTTTTTACATGGACGTTGCTTATTCTAGGGCTGTACCGATGTTTCGGCGATGTATGGCACCATCGGCAGGTGTGACATCTGCCGGTTGCGATTTCCAAAGAAGACCGTGTAGAACGAAGAAAAAGAGAGCTAAAAAAATGACGTGAACGGGCTTTACAACTGATTCTCAACGGCAATAAGAAAAAATTAAGGCTGTCATGATGCATCCATCGATGAATGGATGTCATCTCCGGTAGTTAGAGGTCACACCTTCCCCCGCACACTCTGATCACAAGCGTGAGATTATGGAAGACGGATAGAGGTCTGCGCTACGATCGAAGCAAGAAACGATGCAAGACAAACCTCCGCCAAATCGCGGCGAGAAAAGATTGAATCCTTCAGCGCATACCACCCCCCCCCCCTCCCCCCCGATGCATCGATACACTATCGATAGTTCAGGTCGATACATCGATGTTTTTTAAACTGCTATTGTGACAGCCCTAGTTTTAAGTGGTACAGCAAATTTTTTTTTTCTCACGCATTGGGAGAGCACTTTTCAGGAGGAAGCACGACCCGAATCGGTGGGATGATCGGAGGAGTCGTCGTTCCAGTCCCTGCAGACAATTGTACAGGGTTTAAGTGAATTTCTATCGACAGTCCTCTCAAGTGCGTAATTTTATCATACCCTGCAGTGACGTAATTAATAATAAACTGGATGCGTCTGGATAAACTTAGTAGTTTATCCAGACGCATTATATACTTCTTTTGACAGCGTGCGCAGCCTGAAAGCATTCCTCACACGTTCGCGAGGCTGGACGGACGAGTGTACTTTTCACACTTTGGCCCTAATTCAGGTCTTCAAACCTCTCAATAAGTTGTTTGTTTTTTTTTGCACTTCGAGGACTCTTGAAGATTCATCGTGTTCTTTACCACCAGGCCGACTCGGTTTTCGAACTTTTACATTTTTCAGTCGCCCCAGAGACGGGTATTTCATCTGGAAGGACTCACCACAAGAGCAGAAATATCGGATCTGGAAATCGTGGCAAGCGCCGGAACAGAAGAGGTGGGGATGCGTGAGAAGATCGCACTGAATCCTATCGCTGCGACTTGCATTGAACGTCTCTCCAGTCACAACGTCTCCGCATTCCAATCCCTCGACCTTACCCTGTGATCTCCCAATGGTCATGTCCTTGTCCCTTTGGTGCTTATCTTTACCGAATCGATCGAGTCCAACTGGACTCACTTGGAGGCAGAATCCGTGACTGTGAAGCTGGTCCGTAGTCCTCATCTCCCATTCCATTATGTCATCCGGCCGGTTATCGTTGATCCACTCGGACCACGAGTCGCAACCGGTGCTTGTGGTCGTTGGTTCGCCTACCCGGACATTTACAGCATACAGCGAGGGATGCTAATACAGACATGGAAAGCAAGGGTGGGACAAACCTGTGGTCTCCTGCGGACAGAGGCAATAGACCTCGAGGTGTCCGTGAAAACAGTCTTCCGGAAGCTTCTCAGACTCCGATCTCTTCGATATCGGCATCTCGATCGCTGCAAGAATGTACCATCGATCATTCTCAGAAGTGGCATCGGCTACGCCATGCCGAGATATCAGTACATAGACATACCCAGGAGAGCGTTTCCCGTGCACCGCATTCTCGAAGGTCGTTCGCAGACGCCTTGAAGGTCCTTTATCGTACCGCCTGGAGGAATCGAGGAGACATCCACATCCAGCCATCCACATGTGACGGCTGGAATCCCGGACGGGGTCGTCGCGTAGCACAGAGTGTCATCGCACGAATATTCGTTCTCTGCACATTGACACACCAGGCAAGCCTTCAGCGAGTTCACTGCTCCGGGCTGCACGGTAAGAAACAAGGCATCCACCTCCAGCTACATTCATCAGAATAGGGCTAGAGTTTTGAATCTGTTTCATTTACAGGCACTCGATTCCCTGATGAATCGACGCAAGCGCAATCCGATTTCTGGACGCAAGTAGAATTGTCCCTCCAATATTTCCCTCGAGGACACGTGACGGAGTCCGATATGCATCCTGTTAGAAGCATGTCCATCGATCTAACAATATTCTGGCGCATAAACTCACGTAGCATTCAAGTTTGATGATACTTGCCTGGAGCGCAGAAGTCTCTCGGGCCACAGAACCCGATGCCCTGAAGGTAATACTGAAAGTCGAGGCAGAGTTGATCGCAGGGGAAAGCGCATTGCCGCCAACTGTATCCCACCTGACAGGGAGCTTCAGCAAGATTCAGTGCATGTAAAAATATAAGTCATCCCGCCATATTCTATTTCAAGAAAAAAAAAAGAGACTCACGTGGAGTTGGGAGCGCGGGTGACGATGTTGTAAGCATATCTATGACGTCATACGACCAGATACAGGTTATTAGCAGAGTACTTAAGGAATTCCCATTGTCATAAAAAATAGCTTCGCAATGGCTCACCTTCTGAACACTCAGGTTTCACCTTGTAGACATTGTAAGGCCAGTCACAGATCATAGTGACGGGATGGTAAAGCGTCCCAATGTTACATTCCTTCTTCACCCATTCCACGTAGCCCAGTCGAGGAACGCAATGTAGGAATGCCCTGCAGTCGTCCGGATCTTCCTTGTGAGGTCGTGCTGGATCGCAAAATCCCGGAGCCGGAGTAATTGTAGTCATTGTTCTCGCTGTCGTCGTTGTTCCCGCTGTTGTCGTCGTCGTTGTCGGAGAACATAAAAACATAAGTCATCCCGCCACATTCTCTTTCAAGAAAGAAAAGAGAGACTCACGTGGAGTTGGAAGCGCGGGCGACGATGTTGTGAGCACACCTATGACGTCATACGACCATATGCAGGTAATTAGTGAAGTACTTAAGGAATTCCCAATGTCATGAAAAATATCTTCGCTATGGCTGACCTTCTGAACATTCAGGTTTCACCTTGTAGACATTGTAGGGCCAGTCACAGATCATAGTGACGGGATGGTAAAGCGTTCCATTATTGCATTCCTTCTTCACCCATTCCACGTAGCCCAGTCGAGGAACGCAATGTAGGAATGCCCTGCAGTCGTCCGGATCTTCCTTGTGAGGTCGTGCTGGATCGCAAAATCCCGGATCCGGAGTAATTGTAGTCATTTTTCTCGCTGTCTTCGCTGTCTTCGCTGTCGTCGTTGTTCCCGCTGTCGTTGCTGTCGTCGTTCTTCCTGTCGTCGTCGTTGTCGGAGGAGAAGATTCGCTCGGGCAGTGGCAGTATGCACGGACTTCGTAATCGGGACAGTCTTGATGAGGACAATTATTTGCCTCGTCATTTGACTTCTTCAAAACAAAATTGAATAATAAAATCATCAAAGTTTATGAGTAACTTACGGTTTGGATGTTGAAGGAAATCCTTGCAAAGAAGACCCATATTCAAGTCACAGACGAATCCCAACGGTTTTCCCGATGCATTTCTCGAACGACATTGGAAGTCCGTGACATACTCGTCGGCACAGAACGCCTCCTTCCCCCTCATCATCAGCACCGTCTCCGCCTCGTCCTGTCGTGATCACGTACAGCTCCGTCCAACAATCTGGTCCGCGAGGTGGGCTACATAGCAAATACTGCATTCTAACCGGATCCTGTGGTGTGGGGACGTGGCTGCTGATCCAAGAGGTCCAGCCACTCTGGATGCAGGGGGACGGAGGGAAAGTGACAGGGAGAATCAACGGAACAGGTGCGCTGGTGGTGGTGGTGGTTCCCGTTTCCTTCACTCTGCACCCCAATATCTCGAGCCGCATAGCGGGCCAATCGTGGGATCTTTTAGGAGTTAATCTTAGAAGTCTCGTCGTCAACATCCGTTCGAAGAGAATTTCCCTCCTTCCCTCTCCTTCCACGTTGCCTGGAAACACCTACAAACACGGACAAGAGACAAGACAAGGAGTGAGAGATGAGACAATGGGACGAGAACTTCTTGCTCGCGTGGATCGCTTGACTGGGGCCGGGGAGGGAGGCGTGCGCTTACGCCGCTGTCGTCTGCCGGTCTGACGGAGAATGGCAGCCAGTTTCTGCCGTCGACGCTGGTTTCCAAGGAGAAGGCTTCCACCCAGTAGGGTAACTCGGGATGGGGCTCCAGCACCACACCCGTGATATTCCTCTCTCCCACGAAATCCACCTACACGAAGAATTCATATTCCCAAGGTGACAGGTTCGAGTCAAGGGGCAGTGTAGTCGAAAAGTGAGACTCATTCAAGATAAATAGGAAACACGCGAAAGTAATAAGTCAACTATTTAAGGGCGAAGGAGCACCTGGATCCACTCCTGCCCCAAATGGTTAGTGCTGGGAACCCAGGCTCTTGAGGGATGACCCAATCGTGCAGCATTCCCCATCGTGTCCAAACTCTGAAAGCTGCTCACGCTAATCTGCGAGTCCTGATAAGGTAATTTTTTTCCTATTATGAAAATATTCAATCGAGATCCATTTGGCCAAAGACGGGCGGAAGGATACCTGGATGTCTCCTGAACTCATTCCAAGAGGATCGAGACAGTTTCCACAGTCACACTTGAGTCGAACCTCGTAGTCGGCACACGGGAACGGGTTCCCTGATGTCAAACGGACAATAAGAATCCCCGAAGTCCCTCATTTTTCGACCGATGGTCTACTTATGTCAAAGACGTACCTTCGGCATATTTGACATCCCTGGGGCTGATGCAGTGGAGCCCGATAGGAAGCCCGCAGCTGCCCTGGCGTCTCGTGTCGTTCTCTCGAGGTCGACATTCAATGTCGACCATGTTTTGCTCTGGGCAAAACCCGTAATGTCTCCTCAACTGACCGACGGTCTCGAATTCCCCGGATTCATCCGGACTGGATCCGTCCATCCAATCAGTCCAGCCTTCCTTGCACGTCAGTAGGGGTTCTACTTCCCGTCTCCCTCTGAATTCCATCGAGCACGTTTCGTCAGCAGGTGAGTCCATTGCATTCAAAGTTATATTTTCAGAAATCAATCAACTACTAGGAGCGGCAAGAAAAATGCACTGATGACGTGGGAAGAAACAAAAGCAACCTAAGGGTGGATTTTTGAACAGAGCACTATCCGATAATGCAGCTTTATTTCCAGGAAAATACTCTATTATCAAAGAAGCAATTTTTGAACCGAGCATTTTCCATAATGCTCCATTTTATTTAGACATCAGTTCGTGATTGTAATAGAGTAGGTCCAGAGGCCCTCTTTCGTCGATGAAAAAATAAAGGAACATCTTTTTTAAAGGGGAATTCTTTGAGATCAGTTATCCTATACCTGTAAGAAGTTTTTGAGGAAATTAGATCTTTTTTCTATGCATATGCATTTTTAAAAATCAGTTTATCTCCTCAAATGCAGCATTATCTGGCCAGTTCACAAATCGAAAAAATAATGCTCCTCTTTATAGAGCTGTATTATCCAATAGAGCAGGATTATTTTAGAGCTCGGTTCAAAAATCCACCCTAAGATTTTCTTTTAAAAACGCTGCGTTTTCTGAGTCGATGAAGTTTTTACTCGATCCAATTATTCTTTTCAAACTTACATTGGCTCTGAAGTAGTAGTTCCGATTCCTTCTGCAAAAATAAAAATTTTAATATAAAGTGGAATAGAAAAGATGCGGAAAAATAAGTAAATATGCAGTATCTGTCGGCCGACGAGAGCAAGGCATTACCGTGACGGCATCGGCAGCGGATACGGATTTCGTAGTCATGGCATCTTCCCTGCATGGCATCAGTCCCTCGGCATACGAGACCCCGTTCCAGGCTGCATTCCACGTCCTGGCCTGTGAGTTTCGGTGGAACGTGCGTCCCAACCGTCCGGCATTCTATCTCCGCCATCTCGTCTATCTCACAGATCGGCGATTCCGGATAACGGTTCTGAAAGCAATGAGAAGGATCGGATCAGCGGTCCATGGATCGGAACGTGATCGCACGACGAATCCATGTCATCTACCACGTCGATCCAGTGGAACGTGATGGGTTCGACATCGTCTGGATTCTTGAATGGAACGGGATGATTGTTGTTGATCCAGGTGGACCAGCCCGAGATGCAGGACGCCGTCTGTGGCGCCGTCTTCGCCGTCGTCGTCGTCTCCGGAATCACGGGAAAGGTATCGTACGTGAATTTGCAGGGCTCGCCTCGGCACACTTTACGACCTCCGCTACAAAAGCTGTCGATTTCGAACGAACGGCATGCACATCTCACGCCCAATATGGAATGGTGAACTGCTATACTATGAGTATCTACCAAGAGTGGCATCCGTCCTTTTCGAAGAGATCGCCCTCGTACAAGACCCGTCCATCGGGAGTGACGCATTCGCTTCGACAAAACGATGCCTTCACACACGTGGAATCATTCCGTCCTGCGTGCACCTCATCCCTCTCGCATCTCTTCCATTCGCAGCCTATCGCATGAAGAGATTATGGAAGGACTTGGTTAAGTGGTTCATTTTGTTTCTCAGGCGCGTCTCTTAGCGGTTTTCGTGAACGAATCATTGCAAGCGTCGTTCGGGCGTGCGAGCATGACCACCCCGCCGTCTGAATGAAATTTAAACACGACTCACCTTCGATGCAAGGAAAAGAGGAACAGGAGGCGTTGACGTGCTCGTAATGAAGATTGTTCTCGCATGTCCGTTCCGGACAAGCACTCATACACGGAGAGTACTTGGAACTGGTCTCGTCGCATTGGATTGCTATGGAGAATCATTACAAGGTCTCAACAGATGAAGGAAAGGCCCTTCACGAAGGGCTTGGTAAAGGGCTAAAGGATAGAAGACTCCACAATATAATTATGCGATCTTCATTCTCCCCTATTGTCCTTCCACCATCGAGACTTTCACGGACTAGGAGTGCCTTGTTAAACGCAGAATTAATTATGCGTAGGTGGACATTGCAAGGTCCACTCCGAAATGGAATTTCTCTTGAGGTCTTTCAGACAACTCCAGGGCTGTCTGTTCATTTCAGATTGTTGTGACGATGTCTAAGTAGATCTAGATAGCCACCTAGGCGTAGACTAGGATGCGGAGGACTTTCATGCATGAGGCTGGATCCGTAAATGAGACTGCATGGATTTCAGAAGGCTTTTGTGACCGACTGTGAGTTCCTCGTCTACTTTCAAGTTTCAAGGCAAATGCCAAAAGTGCCCGCAACATCTAGCTCACCCACGATGTAAGTTTTATTTATAAATACGTAGTCATGATTTAGAGACGACGGTGCTGTCAAACTTCAAATCGCAAATTTCCAAGTTCTGAGTTCATCATCGTGCGCTATATAATTACCAGAGAGAGAGAGAGAGAGAGAATTTGACATACGGCAGAGATGTTGGGATCTCCACTTGACGGGGACACCGGCGGAAGCACATTGCGTGGCATAGGTTGCCACCGCCGTGCAGAGGCATTCGCAATCCCCGCCAGTGTCGCAACCGCATGCATCTCCCAAGCACCTAATCAAAATCGTTCTGAGTCATTTTTCTTCCATATCATGGATTCTGTTGCAGCGATCGATACCTTTCTAAGTAGGGTTTGAAGGGGACTTCAGAGTGACAGGGTCGAAAGACGTCGCTCCTCAAGACTGAACATTTCTTCCAGGCCCAGTCCTTCCGTTCCGGGCTTTCCATGCACGGGTCCTGATAGAAAAAAAAAAACCTACTAGCGAAGATACAATAAGAGCATAAATATATAATACCGTAAACTGACTGGCGGTGTCTTTGTATGGGGACAATGGGGCTGAAGCCTCCAGGCATCGGCAAAAACGGCCGGTTCCGTCTCGGGAGAACCCCCAGCCGGACCGCGAAAGTCGTCGCCTTCGTCTCCGTTGAAATTTCCACACAGCCCCTTCACCTGCGACGAAATTCCTTCTTCCTGTCATTTTGGACCTTCATAACGGAATGGGCACGGAATCCAGACCTTGTTCTTCCATTGAGGATCCAGATGAAGCGCGACCCTGGTGCCTCGATCCCATTCTACCATCAATCCGATTCCCCTGACTTCCACTAGGACCAATAGTCCCACGTCTCTCACTAATATCCTAAAGACAAACAGTAGCTATAGCTTCCAGACCCTCGAGGTGTTAGGTAAGTGTATGTTCAAGTTCAAATTTTTTGTTTTCAAGAGCCTGAGCTGAATTTCTTGCCCGAAGAAACGAAGACTTTTGTATTCTTTTAAAAGATACAGTCTGTTTCCTGTGCATTTGTGTCGTCGTGTCTATGGAATGTTTAATTAACCCTCTACCGCTCAACGGAGTTCGTAATCCTCCAATAACTGCCTTGAGGGTAAAAAAAAAAAAAACAGTTCGGTCGTCAATGTAATCAGCAAGGTGAAACGCGGAATTCCACGACGTGGTCCTCACTTTCCCGTATGAGGCGGAAGGGGTTTTCCCCTGACGAGCGTCACGGACTCTCCTCCCGCGTGCAGAGTCAAGGACTTGGTGCAGGTCACTCCACTCGTCCCACAGGGAATATTCTACCCAGAAATAAAGAAACTCGTTCGGATGTCGAACAAACGCGTCAGAAACGTTGGAGTCACAGGTGCGACACCTGAATGTCAAGCTCGAAGGTGCGGTCCGAGGCGAGCTTCCCCTTGGCCATCGCGTAGCTGCACTCGCCTAGGAAGTCGTAGAGCTTTCGGTCGAAGGTGAGGAGGTGGGAATCACCCCAGCTCACGCATGTCCCAATGCATTCCTTCTTCGTGCATTCCCATTTCCCTCCTGCGCAAAGGCTGCAAACACCCACACCCATCAACTTATTTTAAAAATCTGCAACATTGCTAAGAGATTAAACAAAAAAGGGAGAATAGGCTTAAATATAGGTCTGACCGAAAAACGTAAATACAGTAGATTGAAAGTAATGAGTTTAACAAGCGAGACTCGGGACGATGGAACGAATAAGGAAAGGCGCGACCATGTGTTGCAAGCTTGCACGATGATGTGTCCATCCGGATGACTCTTGCCACCGTGATGGCAGGGGCAGTGGCTCGGAAGGACGCAATCACCACTGTCCACGTCCAACACGTATCCTTCCTCGCACACGCACCCTGGCTCGCATACCACCAGATCCTTCTTCTCCTCCGAGAACATGTAACTCTGCAGTGAGGAATTTCCGTGGCTGCATTCGCCATGCTGTCAATGCGCAGGAAATAATAAGGAACTGGACTCACGTGGCAGGTGGGAAGCGGAGACGGCTTGCAATCCGTGAATTGCTGGTGCTTCCAATGGTCGCATTTGAAAGAGGATGGAGGAGCAGGGGTCGTGGCATTCGGGGCCGCGGGCTCACAGGACCATCGACCGGACAAACATTTGCTGTTAGAAAGAGGTACTACTATCAGGGGCAACTTTCAAATAATAGGACTATATATGCCTTTCAAGACTAAAAAGTGAGAAATAGTGTCATGCTCTTGCAAAATAATATGTTCAATTTTTTTTGCAAACATATCAAATATTTTCAAGTTGCGGTTGTTCTATATTACTTTCTTATTTTCCGAACTAGTAGTAACTGAGTGAAACGAATGCATTAGTACCGTAATCTCCAATACCCAAAGCCTTCTTCGCACAGTAACCTATTCTGGAAAAGTGTGGTTAATATAGACCCAAATCATTACCAAAGTTGGATTCCTCGAGATCCCGGTCTGAGTTGCCCGAACCCAGGAGGATACTCCTTCCTTCCGAAAAGGCAAGGACAATCTGCGACGGGGATGCACCGGCCCTCGGCATCCATGCTGAGGCCCTTGGGACAATTGCAACCCTCGACGCATCGACTCTCGCAGTCGGGGTGAAGGGCAAGGTTGAGACAGGTCCGCGAACACGAATCCCCGCACACGTGATACTGCTGACCCACGGGGCAACTCATACCTGGATGATCATGAGATTGTAACCTTTAAAATCCGGCTGTTTGCGTAGTGCGGGGGGGGGGGGAATAAAAAGTGGAACATTATGAATAATGTGTATTACAAGTGTTGAACTAGCTGAAATGTAGAAAATAATCTCGCACATATTAACGTGCCAGGTCGGTTGTCCCAAATGAGGGAAACGATGGATGAAGACTGTTTCCAAGGTTTTCTCTTTAAACAATTACTAACATTGCAACGGAGATGTTATATATATATAGCATCAGATAAAAATAGTAATAGTAAATGTGAGCATCAACTAGAGCTCCAGCAATAGCCTTCACTGAGTTCCTACAGACCATATCTGGCGAGAGGAACGATTAACAAAGTAACTTTTAGGACGCGATGTCTCCTCGACTAGGAAAACTAAAATAAAATTACGTATTAATACTTGAGTTAATTAGACAGATACGATGAGGAGTCAGGAATAGGGAAGCTCAGAAACAGGATCTGACCGATGTAAATGCGGTACCAAAAAAAAATTAAATAAATCCTTCGTGCCCGTCCGACATAAACGATTTTTTTTTTAATTGCAAAAAGAAATTGCCTTCCATCAGCATCGCGACCACTTTTCCTCGAGCATTCGGTAGTGGTTACTGAATCGGACTTACCGCATTCCCGTACTCGATGTCTCCATTCCAAAAACACCCCCCTCCGAGCGCATTCGTTTCCGTACGAGGAAATGACGGGGCAGGCGCAGGAACCCATCTCCGATTCGCAGTTGCAGGCATCGTATATGCAGTCCTCGTAGTAAGGATTCGGGTCGACGTCTCCTCCGCACGCTTCACGGGAGTAGAATTTATCAATTCGTATGTTCGGTAAGGCGGGGAAACATTACCCACGATTTCGAAACATTCATGTATCCGCCTTTACGGAAACTAACTTTTATTATTATGAAACTTGCACTGGTGCATCAGCTGATACGGTCCCAACAGACTGAATTTCATCCAAATTCTCTCCCCCGTCCCAGTCCAGTTTCGATTTCCGATTTACTTCAAATGATCGCTCATAGTCTTGCCTTAGCAGGATGAATTTGGATCAATTCTCGCAGCTATGTATCAGCCTAGACTGTGCAAGCATGGATATTTCGCGACAATCCCTCCTGTGTGAGTTGTGACATATTGGGTCAGATTTGGTCGTTCTTGTTGCAATATCCATCCGTGCAATATTTATGTTTAATTTATTTGTAAATTTACTCGTAAAAGTTGTATGGAAAGATGGCCATAGGGCACTGGGTAGTCCTTTCATAGAACAAGAATGGCAGGCTCGTTTTAAAGGTTTCATGGAACGACCTCTGTAGAATCGACAATGATTTTTAAGAAGATAGTGCGCATCGATTTCTTAATTTGGTTCTGATTTGGAAATTTAACTTTTCCCCAAATTTCTCAATTTCGAACTTTTGCACTTGGATTATCCTTTCATTAAAAAAATCCTCAATATCAGCCTTCAATATTAAAAAAAAAAATCAGATCGTCGTTTGAAAATGTGAAGCAGGTAAAACCAAAGCGACGTTGAAGCTTCGATTTCAAACAAATAAGTTTGTTTTTTTTTTTTTTAAACCCAATTTCAACATCATCAGGATTCCAGTCCTTTCCCTTACCCTTGAAGATAGGCTCTTTGAGAACGGCACAGATGCTCTCGGCCGACGGCTTCCTCCCGGGATTCCGTTCGCAAGGATGCTGAACCTGCTCGGAATCGGGACAGGACTCCGACGTCTTCCACCGGTTTGCAAACATCGTCTCCTCTGCCTCCTCGTCACCCTCAGGCGTGAGGAAATCGTCCGACTGATTCTCGTTGAACGTTCCGCATAGCCCCTATTTAACATCGGATGAAGGGATTTTTTTTTAAATATAAATATTGTCGGTATTGGAGCAAGCAGATGACATGTGACACACTTTTGTTTTCCCTTTGAACTCCGCCGGGGCATCAATGTAGACTCTGGTCTCTCCGTCCCACCAAACTTCTACTCCATTTGACAACGTAACTGGGAAAATGAGAAAGCAAGTAGATGAACGATAAACGAACCGAAGGCAATAATTCAACGTGAAATGGGATATGGTAAGTAAGCAGTGTTAATAATATTAACAGATTAGGAGTGGCAAGAGCTTTTGAAAATCATTGTTTAACTTGACGTCGAGCTGTAAATAAATGAATAAAAAATTATGTTTTGAGAACTCAGACCTAAGAGGAAAACGTTGGAGGCGTATTTGATGACGTGGCCCCCGGAGACATTGACGGGGAAATCCCTGACCTCTCTCCCATTTACCAGGGTCAAGTGATTCTGCAGCAGGTCAATCGTCACCTCGTTCGCTTGAATCTTCACCGATCGAATGCACGACGGCATTCCCTTGCTCAGGCTCACCGGGTAATTCAGCCCCTGACGACACAATCGATCGCCGAGTTTCTTAGCAATCCTATTTTAAAACTCGCCTCTATTGAACCATGCAAAGGGGAAATACACGAGGTACGGCGAGGTGGGGGAAGGTGCAAGTAACCTAAATCGGATGTGACGAGAACATTTTTACCTGTGAAACGGAGCCGGCACAGGGGACGTTCTGTGCGGAGATGGCAAATTTCTGGTCAGACTGAAGGAGAGTATAGGAACATTTCCCCATGAAGTCGTATTTCCTTCCATCGAAGGTATCGTAGTGAGGATCCCCGACCACGGCGCATCTCGCACCGCAGGCCCTCCCGGAACATTCCCACTTGCCTCCCTCGCACACGCTATCGCCAGTATGAAAAAAAAAATAGAGCCTCCATCCATTTGAAGGAGCAGAGGCCCCAAACGGCGGTCTCCTCTCACCATCGATTGCAGTCCCATTGAATGACGTCCCCAGGCCCGTGCGTGGCATTGTGGTGGCGACAGGGACACTGGTGAAGGGGGATGCAGCGACCCTGGTCGAGGACGGTACCCTTAGGGCAAGTGCATCCCTCGCGGCACTTATCTTCCTCCACTAAGTCTTCCTGATCCAAGCAAGTCTTCTCTCTCGAAGGTGCACACGGGGTGTACCCCATATTCCCCTCGCATTTCAGGGCTATCGATCATTCCATGAGATAGTCTTCGTCATCGGTCAGCAAAGAGGAGAAATTAACTCCGCTTACGACAGAATTCAGGAGTTCTCCAGTCGATGTCGTCGAGGCCATCCAGGGCTCGACATCTTTGCATGTAGATGGAAATCGTGGAGCATCCACATGCCTCCTTATTCGATTCGTGACACGTGCAACGATCTCGGATGCATGCTTCCACGAAGGAGTTTGATTCTATCACCTAAACGAGAATCATTATTGATAGGAGCCTTCCTTGCTCGACAACATGCCTACTTCTCCTAGCAGATTCATCCATGGACGAAGAGCGACCTTCCCGAAAGAGGCCCACCATTGAACTGCAATTCTCTTCTCACCTGTTCGCATTTCTTTATGGCCGGGTGATGAAGCAATCGCTGGCAGAACTTCTCTGCGCTCTCAAGGTGATCACAGGACTTGGACGTATTTTCCATTTCGCACGACGGACCCGGATCCCTCCAACCCTGAAGAAAATCCTGAAGATCCTGATGGGATCCATCCTCGGCGACCCAATCGTTCTCCCGGTTCCCGTCCAAGGTGCCGCATAGACCACTGATGGTCTTCCACCGACTCTCATCCACTCGGGCATCCACCTTCCCCTGAGAATCGATGGAGAGACGGAGACCCAGGTCGGACGCATCCAAGCTCAACGTCTCCCCGTCCCACGTAAAGTCCAGCCCGTCCACGTGGTTCGGAACCGAGAGAGACGCGTCGTTCTTCTTCACCGAAGGGGACGTCCCTATTTTAAAAAAGCACCTGTTATTGTGCATCTTCAGAGTGTTTAGAATTATTTGTTCTCCCTCTGGAGGAAAAATGGGAAATTTAACGGCCATGATCATGGCATAAAATCAAAATTTATTCACACTCGTGAACCAACCACCAAAACATCAATAGTTGTGTAGATTCCATTGTTGTTGATATATGTTTATCATTCCTGCCACGTATTGACAAATTTACAGTCGACTGGGATCAGAACAACGGAGGCGCTCTGGTGAAAGCGGATCATTCCATAACTCCTATCCCAGTCGACTGCAAGGAAAGGACACGATTGGATTATTTCTGACGAAGTGCTTCAGTAACATTTCATTTACGAGCTTTCAAGATGCATTTTATTACTTAAATCCTTTTTTGAGTTTCTTATTCCAAAACCAATCAATGACTCAATTTCGCCTCCGATTACCTTGCATTCCAATATCTTCCGAAAGAAAACTATGCAAGCTGAGCCCATCGGAAAATTTATCTAGAAAGAGTTCTCTTTCTCCTTAGCGCCCCCCCATATTGACTCCTATCAACTGAGGGACATGCACGACGTTCTTGATGGCAGCATGGGCAAGGACTATCCGATGTTCCTCTGGTATTGATAACCAATCAAATAATTTATTATATTCAATTGCAATGCAACCAACTATTGCATATCTTGCAATTGAAAAGATTGCAGGACATGGAATAGTCAGTAGAAACGCAATCTGGACTTCAATTAGGTCAACCCATCTACCTTGAGAAAAAAAACTTGACTGATTCTAATACATATAACGAACTCAAAGGGACGGGCTAAACAAATTCGTTATAGCGAATTTCCCTCATTTCACTGAAAAATAAATAAAGGTCTGCTAAATTTACGTCAATATCACTTCAAAATGTCACTTAGAGTAAAAAGAAAAGGCAAGTCGTTGTCCATTCATAAAATGCAAAGGTCTAAACGTATGCAGTATTGCAAAAATCCAGCTCTCAAGAGTAATGTATGTACCTAAATGGGTAGCTAAATTATGTGTAATAAAAATCGGACGAGTCAGCAACGCTCTCCATTCTTTGGAAACAAAATCCCAAATGGTTGTCTGCCGCGCTCCTTCCAGGACAATTCTTTGAGCTGTGTTCTGCTTGAAGTGCTTGAAGAGTTTCAGGCTCGACATTTGACCTCTGACCGAAGATAGTCGAAGGCTTCCATTGCCTAACCGAGTAGAATTTTGGACTCTACGTGACCATGATCCTTATCGCGATGTCCTTCTTGCCACCTTTGAGAACAGCAAGGATGACTTTCCATTTCTCCTCGAAGGAGAGAGCATTTTCTTACTCGCTGAGAGGATTGAGACTACAGAAACTGACAGGAGGTGGAACATGCTAAATTTAGATGTGAACGTTTTTCCAGGAATGCGCGAGAGAAAGTTGCTTTGAAGTGTGCTACAGATTAAAACTTCGTAATATGGAACAATTTTGTTCCTTCGGACGATAAAATGAGTTCGTAAAACGGAAAAATTAGTTATATAGAACTTCGTTATAGATAAACTTTTTAACATGCATGTGAATGGGCAAACGGCCAGGAACTGGAAAAATTTCGTAGCAAAGAAAATTCGTTATATAGAGGTTCGTTACGTGGAGCGTCGACTGTACGCTTCGATTAGAGAAGTGTTTCAGTTATTCATGTTTTATCTGCAGCATAATGTATTCACTTTAAGTACTTCAATTTCAACAAATCTGGCAACACTTACTACACCCTTGCCATTAGAACACTAGAAGTTAAATCGCTATGGATGTGCTGGTATTATGTTCTCATCTGTGTTAGGAGGGGGAGCAAACGTCTCGTTAAATGCCGAACCAGATGTTCCAATAAATTGGATACCAGGATCTGACGCAGAATGGCGGAGGTCTTTGGTGAAGCCGATATGGGGGAAAGAGGGGAGGGGGGGGGAGGGGGGGAAAGGGGGGGAGGGGGGGCAATGGTTCTTCATCTCTCACCCGTCCATATCTTTCACAGAGACCTCCACCTCTTCAGAGCTGGAAGTGTGTTTACCGTTGAGAGTGAGTCGAAAAGCGTCTTTTTCCACCTTCAGGGTTAGAGACTCGAGGCATGGCGACGAGGAGCGATTTTCGCAGTCGTGAGTCGTGGTCATTAGCACGGTGAACTTGTTACTCACCACGTCCTTCATCAGTCCGTATCCGCAGTCGCCTTCGAAACTATGCAGAGACATGCATGGTGAGGCGAAGCATCGCGGCGATTACAGGCGATTACAGGCGTTCAGGAAGCACAATAAGGAACAAAATAATTCAGCTTCATATCGAGTTCGTATCTGTGCATTTTTACGTGACCTTACCTTGTATTATATACTGTACTGTACAGTACGACAGAGCACAGCCCAATCGAGTCGTATGCATTTCAAGGGAACATTTGTACTGCAGTGAAAAATGCAATAGCAAAACGAAGGCAGACCTGTAAAGTTTCCCATCGAAGGTGAGCATGTTGTGTCCGGCCCAAAAAGTACACGTTCCCGAAGAGGGCTGAATCGCGGGGGATTCCGTCTCCGTCGAGACTGAAATTGCATTCAACGTCGTACCGAGCATTCGAGCGCGAATTCGATAATGAGACCAGGAGCCAGGACTGCAGTTTTCTCTCCCTACCGTCATCCGAGTGGTCGCAGAGAGGGATGGACTCCGGGGTGAAGAATCCCTCGGTATAGTCACAGGAGTACGTCGGGTGAGGAGGGAAGGTGAAAGAGACCCCGAGAGGGCAGGAGATCTGACACTCTCGGGTCTCCTCGAGGTCCTCGCATTCGTACTCCCCGTTGAAATCCGTCTTCCCCATGTCGCACTCCTCCACGCCTGAAAGATTCGTTTAATACGTGCAATCCCGTGCAGTCGGGATTCGCAAGCGAATCGGCTCACTGTATTGGCAGCGGTCGCCTCTGAAGTCCTTGGGGCATTCGCATCGGTTCTCCTCCAGGCAAGCACCGCCGTTCTTGCAGGCCGGGAAGCAAACGGCTGGAATTATTCGAAGCGATCGCTCCGTTTCCCAACGAGTCCCAACTGCGTGTCGATACACGATCATCGAAAGCGGTGAACTCACGGACGCAGTCGGGTATAGTGATGAAGTTGGGTGCATCGTTCGGAACCCATTGTCCCCTCTCGCATTTCAGCTTTAGGCGCTGCTGCCCGGTGGGGGGTACTCCGTAGCCATCATCGCATCTCACCTGACAGTCCCTGCTCGAACATTGCTTGTGATCAATACTATTAATACATCAATTATTCATTATTTGTATGCATTAATAATTATATTTATAATTATATTTATAATTATATTTATAATTATATTTATAATTATATTTATAATTATATTTATAATTATATTTATAATTATATTTATAATTATATTTATAATTGTATTTATAATTAATTATCTTTTATTTATTGTCACCGTCCTAGTTGTTTATGATAAAATGATTATTTGAAAACCTGGTTCATTGCTCACCGCTGGCTGCAGTAAACTTTGGAGTTTTCTGGACTGGGTGGATCTCGTTCACACAGTCCAGGGAGAATCTGTTGTCCGCACCGAGGGCCGGAGAAATTGTCTGGACAATCGCATTCGTCCGGTCGGACGCAGATTCCCTTGTTCGCGCATGGGGGTTCGCACACCGCTGCAAAAAAAAAGTTTCAACTCATCTTCATCGTTGAAAGGCATCGTGACCAAACGGTAAAAAAAAAAAAAAAATTTTAATTTTACGGATGCAGTTGACGGGAAGAAACGGTCGATTCCCCGGCTGAATCACCCATTGCTGATTGATGCATCTGAGTTTGAGGATCGGACCCCCATTGGGGAAACGGTAGCCACGATGGCACGCGCCTTTACACCCCTTGAAGTTGCACTCCAGATCTCCGTTCAGCGGATTCTCTGGTCTCGTCCCGCATCCTTCCGATACGCGAATGGAATCAGCGCGATTTGCCGAAAACCGCGAAGCTCGACAAGAAGCATTTCCTGACCTCCTTTGAATAAATTTCGCGGGCTATGCTCTCTCTTATTCGGTCCCGGAACGACATCCACGTCTCCTCTCGTTCCGCTTTCGTTCTCTCCGGCATCCTCCTCGGAATCGTATTCGTCGGTGTCCTCCGGTATTTCCCCTCCGCTTTCTTCGTTTTCCTTCGCTCTTTGGTGACGGGGGGAGTTTGAGCGTTGTAGTTCAAACGGTGTGGACGGGAAAGAGAAATGAAACGTACCCTGACGCGACCCCTTGTCGTTCAAAGTGGGCCGAAAGGACGAGAAACAGAAAGAAACGGATCATGATCGAAGGGCATTTGATGAACTGGTGCGGCTTCGACAAAAGGCCAAGAACATCCGCAGAAGGCGGCACGCCCTCCCAGGATGTGCGCCACTTCGATAGCCGACGTCCTTCGTCGATAAGTAGGGCAGATTTCGTCTTCCCGGGATTTCCTTCCAAGTACTAGATTGGTCTGAATATAGGTCGAGGTCTTTTCCTCGTGTCTTGCCGACCAGAGTGCCCGCTAGATAAAAAATATCGGCTGGCTCGTGCGATTGGTCTGTTCAAGGTCGCTACAGTAAAATTTATTTAGGAATATTTAAAGCTAATTTCAGGGATCGTCTTAGATTCGAGGTCGTATTATAGTCAGACCAATACTGTAATTAATTGCTGCATCAAGGGGCTTTGCAATACTCGTGGTGAAAACTTGAAGTCCTCGACCAAGCTGAACATTTTCTGCTCCTCTTAATGGCCTTGGCGTCCCTTTTGTCTCTTTTGTCTGCTTCGTTGTTGAGCTTGACGGCATTGGGGCAGCGTTTTGGACTAAGCCTCATTCCATGATTCGATTTTTCGATTTAGATTTTGTCTCGTGCGACTTCTCAGAAGGCTCTCAAGATTTTCCTGGTTTGTCGGGTCCTTATCCTTTCAAGACGAAAAAAGGATTTCCTTCCCGGAAAATATCGAGTTCGAAATGCGTTCCAGTATTATCATCCACGGGACAGGATCTTCTTAAAAGTTCTCTGCAGCTTCTACGAGATCGAATGAATTTCGTTGTCGCTTGCTGGTTCTGGATCATTTTTGCTTCGGATCGTTGAATGCATTCCATAATATGGTAGAACCAGCTTGGAAATAGTTGCAGGACAAATGGAGTGTTATTAGTAATAAATGTTCTAGTTTTTTTTCCGAGTTATTAATGAGAATTTATTGGAAGCAATAGCACATGCACGATCTACAACGGTAGTAAGAACGGTGCTTCCGAAAGGGAAGACGTCGGATGGGGCACCACACCATCACCACCACCCATTTTTTGGGCACCACACCATCACCACCACCACCCACTTTCTGCATGCCGCGAGACCACCTGAGTCGAGTCTTCTGATATCACTTTTGAACAAAAGTTGAGCTTGTATTACTAAAGATCCGAGGAAAGAAATTCGCCCTGTCTGTTGAACCATCTTGGTGATGCATGGTTCCCGAAAACCCTCTTCTTACTAGCTCAATAAAACACACTTAGTATTATTTATTCTATGTACGGGTGTCCAAAATCCCATAACTGATTCTTGTATCTACAGAACTGCACGCAATACACATGTTCAGAGTGCGTCATGATGGAGCCCACAGCTCAACATGCCCACCGCCGTGAGCATTGTTAATCAATTGTAAGCCAATTTCCTCCCTTCTCATTCGAAGCAGTTGCCCCGCCACGACACTCGCAATGCCTTACGTAATGAACCCTTTCTTTCTCATCGACCAGATTCTCAAGTTCCCTCTCGCCCGCTAGCGTCTCCACAACTTCCCCCGTGAGTGATCCACCTGCCAAACGGATCGGCAGGTGGATCACTGTTTGTAGAGGATCGAGGACCGTCCGAGCGAAGGAAGAAACCGAGACTTATCGCTTTCAATTTCCTGGATGCCCCATTTTAAATGGGGTCTTCGTCCGCCGATCGCTCGGATGACCCAGTGTTTTTTTTTACGGCCGCGTGAGTGCTTCTGTTTCGGCTCCTTCGATGGGTGAGACTTTCTCCTTTTCGTCGCCCCAAAGCCGATTCGGTTTTATTTGTGGAAGATTTCTCATGAAGGGAGCACCCAGTTTAAAATCCCAACTGGAATATTCCAGCTGGACCAAATCTGGAGATTAATACTTTCCAGCTGTAACCCAGTTGGAATGGGTCCGAATTTACAGCTGAAGTCCAGCTGGAAATTATAGCTGTTTCCAGCCGGGATTTTCAACTGGGCAGTCTGGACGGGGAGGATTGCATGTCGGCTGAGAAAAAGCTTTCGCATGAAAAAAGAATGATCGGTGTTCTCTTCCTTTTTCGATGAAATATTAAGTCGTTCGTTTTTAGACAGAGGATTGAGTCTGCCTTTCTCCGAGAGGTCAGAGCTTCGTCCACTCCAGAAAGCTTTCTGGGCAATTTTTCTCTACAAGTCGACTTGCAAGCGACTTTCGAAAGACCCAGCCTACTTTCATAGGATCGATAAATATCGAAATGAGGCGGAACGTGAGAAGTGTCCTGTTCAAGGACAAACAAGAAGGCAAGGTCTACCCTTGCAACGGAATCGGAAGTGCAACCCAAAATTCGAAATTTGAAAGTCCAATGCGGAGAAGAAAGTGGGAAAATGGAGGAGAACTTGCATTTTTTCGACAGACGGTAAATGAAGCTGGAAAAGCTTTTCGGTCTTTAATTCGAGTCTTTCAAGAGAGCCGAATGAGCATCATGTTCCGAAACCAAATCGGGCGACGGTAACTCTGGAATCTGGAATACTTCACTTTCACAAACTTTCACAGACTTTCACAAAATTTCACGAACTTTCACGAACTTTGACATGGAAAACGCTCTGACGAAGGAAAAAAACCTTGCCGGAAAACTTTCAAAGACGTCGCCACCAAAGTTTTCTCTGCAAAGAAAAGTTGCATAGAGAATTTTCTGGTGTGAACTATCTCCGAAAGTTTTCTTTCGAAGTTTTTTTTTGCATTATACTTTTATTGTCTCTGCAAGAAAATGTTCCTGGTGTGGACGAGCCCCAACAATCGAAATGGAGAAGCTTCACATCGAAGATTTTTAGTGTACTCTTCGCGTCGCTTTGAAATTTGAATCGCCATTGTTCATTGTGCTCATTGTGTTCATTGTGTTCATGTCGTTTGGATGATTTCCCCCTTTCCTCCAGGTTGGACCGAAGTGAAGGCCATCGGATTCTTGTGGGTCCTGTTCTGCCTGCAGACTTGTCAGGGTCTGCCGGGCCCAGGCCCCATATTCTATCCCTGCCCTCCAGTTTTCTTTCACGATGTCAAACCGATCTTCGCGCTTAAGATCGGAGGGGGAATCTCTTTCTACCGCCCTAATACGTCCTACGAGGGTCAGCATTCTTTTCTTTCGACGCTGAAATATCGTGAAGAGATTTTTAGTCGATGAATTCTTATACCTCAGTGAAGTTGGAGTCTTCGGTCGCATTCGAGCAACTGATGGTGGCGGGGATGTACCCCGAAGGATTCGGATCGGATTGGAGCGACATCCTCGGCTCCATGTTGGGTCTGCGAGGCGGGAAGACGAAGAAGCGCGACCGGATGTGCGTCGTTCTTCACTCGGACAGGGTTGCCAGAGTCGGGGATCCGACGCGGTTCAATTGGACGAGTCCGGAGTCAGGCTCCGGTTGCTTCACCTTCCTGTTGGTGCCTGTGAATTCCAACCCGAATCGTATTGTTCCCGTGTCTAATTCCTTTTTTTTTCTTGTAGGGTATCTGCCTATCGAGACGGGAGTTCGATCGCCGAAAACATGCCCGTTTCTGATATCTGCGAGGATATCAGTGAGTAATTCCTCGCTTAAACTGCATTTTCCGCTGATTTTCCTATTAAAAATGTCTTGTCTGCAGGCCAAAACGATTTTCCGATGCTTGGCCATCGGCAATCTCCTTCGCCGATCCTGTTCGCCGATCGATTTCAGGACCCAAAGTTGAGCCAGTGGTTCGTTTCCTCCTTTCTAAGTGTCCAATCAAAGTTTTTCACTTTTAAAATGAAAAAATATGTCATTCAAGGCTGGTTGTCGATCGCGTGAATGCCACAATGCAATGCGAAGTGGCCCGAGAGAAGGGCATGGGAGGAGTCCTCTTATGCCAGAATGCCACCTTGTCGACTCCCGCCCTCGATACGACACAAGGAGCAACCCTGCAAGTCTTTTCCCGCCGCGATCCCTGCAGGAACGTCGGATCCCCCGAATTGCAAGTCTCCGTCGGCCGCGTTCTTCAGGGCTCCGATTGCGTCGATCTTCGCCCGCTGCATCGAATGAGGTCCAGCTCATTTCTCCGAAACGTCTTCGAAGGAAAAACTCGTGAGATTCGCTCGAAAAATCCCGTTCCAGTCTGGAGGGAGGAGAGTCGAAGACGCTGACGGGAAACCTGCCGGAAGCCGCTCTGGGGATCGGGGTCTGCCTCTCGTTCAAGTCTCCTTTCTCGTGTTCCCTCATCGAGAAAGTCCTGGTCGTGAAGCGAAAGGGCCCCGAGGGATCCTTCCACGGCTTTTCGCCTTGGACCCCCTTCTCAGCCGTTCCAGCCAACGTAAGCCTCTCCCACTTCTCCTCTCTCAACCAACAAGACTTTGAACATCCGTCGATATTTAGGGAAAATGCGAGGCTGGAAAGACTGGAGTGATTTCGAAAGGGACCATGGAAACGTTGGACTTTGATCTGCTTGTTGAGCCGGTCGAACGAGACGTCCTTTTTCACCACGTCTTCACGACCGGGAATGATAGTCGGTAAGAGCGAGATTTCCCCCAATAACGATTTTCAACCGTGGAATTTTTAAAGGACATTATCGCACATGAAATGTTCTCAGGTGGGAAGTGGTCGGGGGAAGCTGGAAAGAAGGAGAGTCGGTAGACTTGAACCCGTACGAAGGAAGTCTCCTATGTTCTCCACTTTTGGACATAAAAGAAGCCGTGGGAGTCGTGAGGATCGTGACGGAGACGGTTCTGCCCGACTGCGATCTGGAAACGAGAATCCGCGAAGTTTTCGCGAATTTCACCGTCCGTGATTCCGCTGGAAGAAGCCAGATCCACGCACCTCTCTCCCTTCAACCTTGCACCGTACGATAAATTCTAAATTGGTTTTTCAATACTTCAACCTTCGCCTTTCACCATCATGCAATTTTTTTTCCCACCTTGAACCAGGGAAAAGAGCGGCAGGCGATCCGGTTGAAAGGAAGTCGGATCCCCCCGTCATCCCGCCTCTGCCTACAGATCCAGCCGGCAAACAAGACGCTGATCAGAGTCTTCAACCTGACTCTTCTCTCGCCCCTGGCATCCGTTCCGACTCAAGTGATCCAGTTCAGAGCCTTCTCCTGCCCCACGACCAGAGAAGACTTGGAAATTCAAGTGTCGGTCTCTGGAGACCGGGGGAATTCTTGGTTCCCCTTGCACGTCCGCTGCCTCCCACCGCTCTGCACTGACTATTTCTCACCACTTCGCTCCGTCTTCTCCATCAATGGGTGAGTGCTATGCATGCAAGTTATTGTAAATATATTAGTCGCTATAAATCATGCATAATCAATTTGACCGAAAGGAAATCGTGTACATTGCCTCTCCACCTTAATGGAGTCTTGAACGCGAGCCTACTTTCCGTCGTCGTATAGGGAAAAGAGAGTGACATTACCGTTGCCCTATGCGGCCCTGGCCAGCCCAGTCAGATTCCGATTCACCTCCAATGCCACCGATACGAACTGGGTGTTGGATGACCTGTACGTCGGTCCCTGTCCCTCTGGCTGCCATTCCAGAGGAACGTGCACTTCGCGGGGATGCAGGTCTCTCTCTCTCTCTCGTTCATTCGAATGGGTTTGGTTTTTCAGGATCTCCTCATTTTGGTGTTCTCGTTTCCAGGTGTGACGAGGGCTACAGAGGGAGTGAATGCGAACATTCTGACGCACATCCGCCTTTATCTTCGTTCTTCTCCGACTTTCGCCATCAGTCCTCCTTGGATCCAAGTCTTACGGTAAGTTCAAACTGCAAAAATGTTGTCTTATCGTCTCGTAAGGTGGCCACCTTCGAATGGATGTAGAATCCCTGGCCCCAGAAAGTGACAATTATGCCTCTAAAACTAAAAGAGGGCAAAAATAAATTGATTTTTATTTCAAACAGCTGAATCTCACATGACGCATGGAAACCTACACTGAAACTGAATGAAAGCAAACTCAAATCTGAAACTGGGACATCAAGCACACACACAGTTAAAAAAAATTACTGAAATAACCATATCCTGCTGCTGAAACAATGAATATTCGAATGCACATTCTTATCCATATGTAAAAAAGAAAGGGGGGGGGGAATGTGGGATTGCTGCTCCTCCTTCGAAACCGACTCCGAAACCTTGATGACTAAATCCGGGTAGTTTATCATCAACTCCTACTCTTATATAACTCCTCTGTATAAAAGACAGACGACAAGAATTAAAGACATTTAATTTGCGTGTGCGATCGTGTGCATGTCTAGCTGTCTGTGTTTTTCCTGAGCTTCCTCCCAAAGACCTGATATAAATTTGGAAAGAATCGGTAATTTTTGGCATGGGAATGGGTTCCAGGTTCATATCTAGCACTACGCATTGACCGAGGTAGCAGTTACAATTTTTTTTTTATTCATGTGGCATGCATATTCAGGTTCACGGAGGAGAAGTGGGGCTGGACTGCGGAAAATTGAAATGGGACCGATCCCTCGTGTTCCACGGTCCGGGTGATCGATTTCTCGAAACCCCGGACCTGGACTTGAATTCCACCAAGACGCTTGAGTTTTACCTCAAGGTCGGAACCGGGAAAGGATTCGAATCGAGCTGTCCCGGTGGGAACGATCCCTGGGGAAACCTCCTCCTCCTCCGATCCTGCAACAGGGGATTCACGTGGGGACTCCTCCGGACCGTCGAGTCTGACCGAGCCGGGAACCCTGGGCCACGGTTGATTTCGGTTCGCTTGGACTCGGTCCCGGGTGAAGTCTCGGGGTGCCGGTTGAAGCTGTGGCAGCCGGATGAAAGGAGCTCTCGATCCGTGTGGTCCATCGACGACCTCGGTCTCCACGACGACACGATGCAAGGAGACGAGGTTCTAGGGAAAGAGAAGCTGGTGACCGAGACGGGTGACGTGGGACCTCATTGCAATCGGGAGGGCGTCTTGCTCTTCCCGGCAAAACCGGACATGGAGAGCCGGGTGGAAACGCCACCCATAGACGTCGGTGCTTCTCACGCCCTCCAGTTCGACCTGGTGATCCAGTGCCAGGCCCGGGATCCCTCCAGTTTCCATGTGAGTCTCTTCCCTTACTGAATCTTTTACGAGGGAGTTCGACCGACTTCCCCGACTTCTGACCTGAAGAAAGTAAAAAAAAAAATTCGTTTGAAAAAGAGAATCGATGAAAGGTAGTCAACCCTCGATATAATGCCACCGTTGGTCGTCGCCGATTATATTGCTATAATGTATGTTTCGCTATATCGAGTCAATCACACTATGCTAGTTGCTACGATACGGAACTCTCCAAAGGGCAAATTGGCTAAATGGATATGAAATTCATCTTGCCACCCTTCACCCTTCTCCGAATTACAATCCATTCCACGGGTAAGAGTCATCTCTCACTATCTCGCTGTTGTCGCGTGATCGGGAGGACAATCGACGACAAGTATTTACTTGAGTACAGTACTGTATGAGGGTTGCGGCAAATATGCTGCTTTGCGCAACATCGCGAAGATACGTGGAAAAGTGCATTTGTATTACTAATGGCATTGTCGGTTGGCGACTTGCGAGGGTGGCGCTATAACAGGAGGGTCGTCTTTTTTACAGAATAAGCCTTTGGGAAAGATTTTTTCAAAGGAATAAATTAGCCATAGTAGAGGGTTGCGATACACCGAAGGTCGATTGTACATTCAAAATAAAAGTGCATAACATTCAAAATAAACATGAAAGGCTGAGAGGCTAGAAAATGAGGAACACGATGAGATCACGATCGAGTGATTGCGACCACGAGCAGGTGCACTTGGAGTACTCGAAGACGCACGGGATGACGTGGGAGGAGGTGGAGCGACCGTGTTTGCATCCCTGTCACCGACCGAGCCTGGGCTCCGTTTTCCACAATTCCCGTTTTCACGGCTGGCAGAGAGTCACCATCCCTCTACCCCCGCACACCTGGTGAAACTATTTTTTTTTTAAATACTTTTTCTCTTAACCGCCTCGACGAACCCATAACACGTTTCACGGTATCCTTCAGGGGACCACACACGCAATTTCGATGGCGAGGAAGCAAGAATGGAACCGGGGAATGGGCTCTGGATCGCGTCTTCGTCGGTTCCCACTGTCCCTCCTTCTGTTCCGGGCATGGCGATTGCCTACCTCTGGCACGATGCAGGTTAGCTTTCTAACCGATCAGAATATGTAAGATTTGATTTTCCATGTTCTGAATTGATTAAAAGGTATGGAAGACTATAACGAGATTTACTGAGACTCTTCGAGTCTTCTAACTCAGTAGAGAAAGCGCATGACTTGATATTGAGATTTGATTCGAAGATAAAAATGCTGTTCATATTGTATAATGGAAACGCTAACGGCACGAATTTTCTTAATCGTAGTTGAAAATGTTAATTAAGGTAATTATTCATTAATGACACGGAAGGTATTTGATGCGCAATGTCACGTGCACAGGTGCGACGAAGGATACTCGGGAGAGGATTGTGGGAAAAGGAGAGGAGAAGAAGAAGGAGCCCAGGTCATCCGAATGGAGTCGGAGGAAGAGCTGAAGGAGAGGAGAGTTCGAGTGACTGGAGGCGGGATCGGACGGGGATGTGCCAGGATTACCAGCGGGAATTCCCTCTACTTCTCGAGGGTCTGTTTCTCCCTCTTGTCCAGGGTCGTTCATTGCAGATTGGAAAACTTCTCGCCTTCTAGATTGCTGCGAGGAGGAGCGGCTGGGTTGTTCGGCTCCGCTCGGCAGCTCATGAGACGCAGCTTCTTCGATGCATCGTAGTATCTATGAGAGAGTGTAGTTCAGTTGTGCTATTCATTTATAGGAGGGACTGAGTCTTGAAAAATCGGTGGGAAAGCATGTTGAAAAAACTCAGCGGCAATCAATCGATGCCAGTGGAACAGAATCTCGCGCACATTGTGAAGCAGATATGGGGTGGGGTGTGGTAATGCGAGCAAGTTAAAAAGATGAAGTTTAAAATGTGGAGGGGAGTCATTTTTCCTTCAGAGACTGATTTCATTCTAACTGAGGGGGGGTGAAAACTTGCAGGTTGGTGTGAGGATGATGGAGACGAAGGATTTCGTAGCGGAATACGTCCAATTCCTCCAATTCTGGCTGAGGATCGGTGGCGGGGATCTCATCCTCTGTTCTTCCACTTCTTCTTCTCCTCCTGTCATCCTGGAATATTCTACGGACGGCGGGATACGGTGGCATTTCCTCCAGGAATTCCCGCCGCGTCAGCACCACTCTCCGAGGTGAGATTGCACGTATTTTATGTGCGAGACGGGGACCAGTTCTCGGAATTTTATTTCTAAAATTAGCTTAATCCGTGTTAATGAGTTCAGTTACAACTGGATTTACAGGGTGCTCTTGCAAAAATCCACTTTTTGAATACAGGAAGGAAGCATCAACCATCAAAACTATAGAATTGGTAGCCATTTAAACTCTCCTTTTTCTTTCTCAATGTACATTCCTCATTTGTATCGTTACTTCATCTCCCCCCCCCCCCTATTCCTGAAAACAGGCTAGTGAGGATCCAGGCGAAGGGCCCAGTGCCTGGAACGGGCCTGGTGAGATTCCGAATCTGGCAACCGTGGATAGCTCCAATGAATGGAGGATCCCAATGGGCCCTGGACGATTTCTACATTGGATCAACTCAAAATTTAACTCTCCAACACCTCGCAAGTCTTCAATTCAAAACTACTTTTTCCTCAAGATATTATCCATAATTATTTCATGGTATGCAGTATTGTAAGAGGATGACGATGACTTTTGATCCTCCAGGACGGGTGGGAAAATGGGATGCCCTGGATGAGTACCACGGACCGGGTACTGAAACGGTACTGCAATTCTCCCGTGGAGAGTGCCGTGTTTCATGGGTCCAGACACGAGGAAAAATTTGCCCTCACCCACGATGTCGTCTTTCGAGATCACGATGTCCTCATGTTCGAGGTTAAATTCATGATATACCTTTCCTTCGTAAAATTCATTCAGGGAAAAGAGGAGTACAGGAGATCGGATTTTCAAGCGGGTCCATTAAGTCGTTTAGCTAATTCGCGGGTCGCCGCTCTCTAACTTGATGTATTGGCACTCCAATTTGTTACTTTCGACATAAGACACGTAGGGGGAGGATCTCCTTTAAAAAGCTCTTCATATCAATCTCAGAAGAGTAAACAAAGACTTGTTCGCGTTTCTTTCAAAAGGCTATATTTTCTCATTGGTTTCCCCTGCGTGTCCCCAGTATCCTTGATTTACGGAAGTTAGCGATCAGGTGTGGTCTTAACAATCGCCTTAAGATTGTGGGGAAATTAAGTTCTCCAAGAAACGTTACAGGGAAAGTAATTTAACTGATTTTGAGAGAAAAGAAATAGGACCGTCTGAAGTGAAACGGCAGAAGGAAAAAATGGAACGATATAATGTGATCATCACGTTCCGTCTCGAGGGAAAGGCGAGGCGAAAATGTGTACTATTGACTTACGTCTTCCTAGATGGCCGTGGAATGTGGGGCTATGTTCTCGGAAGAGGAAAAAGTGTCATTTGAATACGGGATCGTCGACGACAGAGGCTTAGTGGAATGGAGCCTCTTCCGAAATGCCCTTCATCCCCCATCCTCTTCCTCCTTCTCTTCCCCCGTTCCCTTCGTAGAACCCTCCATCTTCTATCCAGGCAATTGGTCTCGAGTCCTTCTCACGCCTCCAAAACGCATCCTCGACAGGTATGAGCACACGACTTACTCCCACCTCCTCCATCCGTGGTGCTGTTAGCTTGGCTACTCGAGAGCCACCTACTTATGGAGTTGGCACAAAAGCTACAAGATGGCATGTTCTTGCATGGCATAGATTTTTTTGTGGGCCTCCTTCCCTGAAAGGAAAGAGACCACTTATGGTCTCGTCCTGTCCGTCCGTGTGTCACACTTTGGTTGTCCGACGATAACTAAAAAACTATTGGCCTGATCAATGCGAAAATTGGCAAGCGGGTAGATATGAACAAGATACAGGCTGAGTTCGTTTAGTGGTGAATTTGCACCAAAATTGACATTTTTATTGCAATTTTCAAATTGCAAAGAGGACCGGAAAGTGTAGGCATTTTGTACAATTAGGTGCCACAATGCAGGTCGCCTAAAATGAAAGGAGGCCCACTACTGGACTGGGCCTGCCCAGCTTGTTTAAACATATGGTTGGAACAAGAAAGATCGCCGACCTCGGAACCAGACCACCGGGGGGGGGGGGGGGTATTTGGTTATTCAAGTCCCCTGACATTTTGTGAATTGAGAGGAATGATGATTATTTGCATAGACCGGTGTTGATTCGCTGGATCCAGAAGAAAGGCTCGGGGTTTAGCCTGCGTCATGTTTACTTAGGACCCGCATGTCCCAATCACTGTTCGGGACACGGACGCTGTCGGAATGGACTGTGCCTCTGCGACTCCGAAAAATACCTCGGTATCTTGAGCTGGGATCAAAATTTGTTTAAATTAAGAGAATATTGTGAAGATGATTTTCCGCTGGTGATGCAGGGGTAGAGTGCAGGTTCTCGGAGCGAGTTCAGACCGGACTAGAAGAGCACTTCGAAGATCATGATGACGATGATAAATCCGGCAGGGGGCACGTCAATGGACTCATCTATCATGGAGGATGGGTAGATTTCTTCTGCGGGAGGAAATCCTGGAATGAACGGTCTTTGGTGATGGGTGGACCTGGACCCCGAGTCGTTCTCACGCCTCCCCTCAACACCTCCAACACATCGTGAGTCAATCTCCTCTCCTCTTACACGATTCACGGAAGTCTAAGGCCTCCTTATCTTACTGCTACGATGAAATACCGGAGTCACCGTGTTCCAGGCCCGTCCTTATAATGTAGCACACCGAGTGCTGTGCTCAGAACCATGTGAGTGATACGCTACCAAATCCCATCGTTTAGTCGAGAGGGTTATGGAGTCAGAGGTGTAGATGATAAAAAAAAAGCTTAACATCCTGCAGAATAGTGAACGTTTTGGTTAAAAATTACCTAGGCAACAAACCAGCAGAGCCCTTTGAAGGAGAAAGTGTGGTCCACACATTTGAACCGATAAATACTGAAACGCGAAGGTTTTTAGGTACAGTATTTCGTGTTTCCGTATATCTCACGATATACGATAGATATAGACGGATTTGTCATAAAATAAGAGTGGTATGACGCCAAAAGAATGATATAGCCCTGGGAATGTTTCTTGTCGTCGATTGCAGTTCTATGATGTTGACGGTGGGGATCGGATCATCCGTGTCCTCTGACCCGAAAGCCGGATGCTTCCCGGCCTGGGACGAGAAGGGGAGTGTGATCGTGGACGCGAGTGTTGACGGAGGGCTCACGTGGTCACCCCCTCTCCAAGTCCTTTCGCCCGCTCACTTCCAGGAACCCAGACCCATCTGGATCCCACTTCCGGATTCAGCACGGGGACCAGAAATCCATTTCCGGTTCTGGCAGCCCTTCCCCTCCGACACTGACTCGTCTCGTCCCCACCCCAGGCGTCTGTTTCCTTCGCCTCTTTCTTCTCCCTTCTCTTCATATTCACTTGCATGCCAGAGATAATCTTAGGGGTTCTTGTTCTTGGATTTTTTCGGTCAATAACTTTGTTTCTGTATTTATAATTCATATCTTGTCGCGACCTCTTGCCTCTATGTGTCTTTGTCGATTTATTATTATTCATTATTTTCTAATTCTTCGTAGCGACGTGGTCGGTGGACGACATATACATCGTCCCAAACGAGCCAGGAATGACCGGACTCGAGGAAGATTTCCAGCCTCTACACAAAGCTCAATGGTTTCGTATTTCCAATGGAAAGATATCCCAAACCTGCGGAGCTCCAGACAACGTCCTGCAATTCGGCCAAGAGAACAGTACGTTGAACAGTACTTCACGGCACGTGCATGTCGCAGAGTCACCTGACTGACCAGACGAAACGCACCAGCCGATTCGTGAAACCGAAGAGAATGTAGGAAAACGATTATTCTTCATCCCGTGAGATGGCGAAAGGAGTTTCGCAGAGACGTGGGACATGAGACTAAGGCCGGGATCCTGGTTGGGATTCGACCTGAACCTCGGCTGTGACCTGGTGGAACCCTTCAAGGTCACCGTGGAGTTCTCCACAGACTTCGGCGAGACCTGGGACCTCATCACCCGAGAATGTATCCCCGGAGAAGGCGATTGCTTCCAAGGGGAGTTTCGACTCCCCTCCGTCTTCCACTCCTCGCATGTGACCAACTGGACTCGAGTCTCCATCCCTCTGCCTCTCGCAGCGCTGTAAGTCTCGTTTCTCAACTTTCCTTTCCCATTTTCATCCATCATTTAACCTGTACATGGTCACGAAATATAAATGAATGCATCCAGATTGAAAAGAGAGTGGGGTGACATTCCCATTGTTAGTCGGTTCACTGGCATGTGGTGTCACTAAGCAACTCCCTTCACCTCCTTCACCTGCCTCCCTGGCATTCACCCTCGAACTTGGAGCGCATGGGCCTCTTTCTCTCCCGTGTCTCTCTGATTACGTCCATTAATTCACCTGTTGGGGTTCTGTTTAAATCAAGAACTTGAAGCTATCACTGGCATGCGCTCCCATCTGCACTGCCCCTGCCACGCGAGAATATTTAGTTATTGTAGAATATCACAATCTCTCAATTGTGCAGACTCTGACGACAAAGAAGCTAACCAACTCCATTTCGTATTCGCTAGACTTTCCTAAATAGACATTTACTGGATTTCCTATACATGGCTGTGGTGAAGGGCTCTTGGGGATGAACAATTGTGCCTCAAAAGTGACTAGAGCCAATATTGAAGCTCGGTATTATTGCCATTGAGGGGTAAATCTGATGAAATCTTGAAAGTCACAACTTGCCTTAGCCATTAGAATGCACAAATTTTGACTTTGGCGAAACCTCGAGTGGCTATCAGCCTACCGAGATGAAGCTAGGTTTGTGCCAGGTGGTCCGCAATTGAAAGCTTGTTGGAAACTGAGTAACGTGACTTCATAGCTTTAGCGAGACAGCCGAGAAGACCAGGCCTGGACAAAGTGAAGTCTTTGTGTTTCTAAGCCTAGAAAGGGCGTAAAACCTGGATATTCCGAAACGAGGGATATCCTCGATCGTCTCACCCCTTACATTTTACGCAGGGCCGGACGGACTCGGGTGCGATGGATCTCGGACGCGATGCCGGCTTCCCTCTGGGCCATCGATAACGTCTACCTGGGATCTTCGTGTCCATGGATGTGCTCGGGGCATGGACGATGCTTCCGCGCCGCCTGCTTGTCTGTCTATTTGTCTCTGTATTCATATTATTAGTGTCAGTCGGGCCGAGACGGAAGGAGACTGACCCTGTTATCCTTTCCTTAGGTGTGATGAGGGATTCTTCGGAGAGACCTGTGTCCCGGCCTCACCGCTCCCATGTGAACTCAGGTTAGACAGAATGAATGAACGAATGAATAAATCCGTCAAATGGTTTAAGCGACAGATATCTTTCCACAAACAGGATCCGGGGAACCGGAGAACCACGAGCAAGAGATACATGATGAAAATAATTACGATGCAATAAAAATTGTAAACAGTAAAGCAACATCGTGGAAAGAGATTGGCCGCAGCAGAAAGCTCGCCATTTCGTCGTGTTCTTTGACATCGAAATTAATTGGGCAAAGTGACAATTTGACGGGTTCCGTTTTCGTGTTTTAGCCGTTGTGTTTTGACCTCGAAACAGCTTATCTTCTAAAATGAGAGAGGAGAGTTCCTGTCTTCATGTTTCTCTACTTCTCACAATGACGTCTGCCCCTCATTTTCTTCTCAGGGAGGACTGGGACGACGTAGTAGGAAGGCCTAATGCCAGTCGGTGGATTTCAGTCATCGGAGGAGGCATAGGCCTCCACTGCGGCGTCTTCGTGTCGCAACGAGCACTGGTTTTCGACTCGGTGAGTTCTTATCTTCAACACAGATCAATTTACGCGCTCCAAAATTACTATCAATTTACTATAAATTAATAAGCAGCAATCAAACTAATACTGAAAATTATGTAACATGGTTATCAATACGATTGAGAAAAATTGCATGCAAAAGCAATTTCAGCATTGGGGGACAGTTGACGTATTGATTTATTTACCGAATTAAGATCCCTTAACTGGGCTTAGCCCTTCTCGACGTCAACCTTGACCCGTCGTGCAAGGAAAGAGGTAAACCGGCGTTCGAGAAACGCATAGATGGAGATCAAGGAGACTCCGGTAAACATTCCGACACACCCCCCCAATTCTCCCACCATCTGAGTGATATCATAAGACGGGATCTCGGTGAGGACCTCGGAAGTGTCAAGGGGGACGTACACGGAGATCCTGGACTTGAGACTCGATCTCCCATCGTGATGGGACTGGACCTGGGCGACATACACGGTCCGGTTGCATGCAGGGAGGCAGTTGCGATGGCAGCTCTGGAACTTCTTCCAGAATGATCCTTGGCTCCCTCCCGTCTCCCTGTAGATTTGCACCAGTTTGGCGACGTCTTGGGCCCGATCGCAGATAGGGGAGGGGAGATTCATCCAGGGGAGGCAGCACGAGATTTTCTCCTTCGACATCCCAGTTGCAATGCAATCGTCGTAGCACTAATAAACAACAATCTCCGTAATAGGGAGTCTGGAGACAGCCGTTAAAAGTTTCAAGAAGGCTTTTGCTCCGTATCTCAAGTATAAACCGAACATTTGCGTAGGCTAAAAAGCAGTGGCAGCTCGTCAGGAGAGGGACACTCAAGGGAGTCCCGGCCTCCTCAAAAAATTCTCAGGAGCCCCTTCCCCATACATTTTAAAATATCCATTAGGATAGCAAATAATTGGAAGAAACCTTTGATAATCATTGGATTCATTCTCAATTGACACAAAACGAGCGACGTCCGGTCTCTGACAGCTTACTCCTGCCCAGAATCGCGTATGGGAGGCCCGAGCCTGGTGGCCTCCTCTGGTTCATAGACAATGCATAGGGGCATCCCATAGCACTACTATATAGGCCTACTATACAATAGTATACGAGAGCAGGGAGGCCGGCCTCACCGTCTGCATTGCGCATGAGCGGATGCCTGCAAGTAAGAGCGAGTATAATATATGTCTTAAGGTTCCTTTGCCTCAAGAGAGGCTCTTCGGTCATCCACATTTGTCAACGAGCCATCACTGCCAAAGAGGGCTTTCCCTCTGACGTCATGGAGGCAAAAAAAAATAATTTTTTTTTCTCTGAAAGGACCATACCCAATTTGGTACGAAACTTTCAATCCCTTCATTTGAATATGAAAAAATGAAATGTTTCGACTCCGTATCCAAAACAATGCTGACTTCAGTTGAAAAACTATCTTAGTATAGTTTTTCATGCATGAAGGGAAAATCAGGAATAATAGTTTTGCCACAATAAATTATTTTATTATTAATTTAAATCTCTTTTGTTAGAAATGAAATTTAAAAAAATTTTTAATTGAGAAAATAAACCAAACTAAGATGAGGTACATAAGACATGACAACATAGGTAAAAAAAATTGTCATGATTTAGTAGTAACTTACCTTGTCTCGGGTGTAGTTGAGATCCGGATTGCAAGGGTAGGCTTTGCTGTTAATATTGATCGTTTCCTTGAAGGTTAAACGTATTTCGTAGGAGATCCCTGCCCGGATCCGGAATGAGGTTGCTGATCCATCCCTCATCCAAGCCCAGTCCAGATCTCGATGCAGCAGCAGGTCCCACTCTGGAATTTCCCCTATTTCCTCCCACTTCTCCATGTCGGATTTCTCGTTCTTGTGGGGCAGCGTTAGCTCCTCTCTCTCTCCTCCTCCTATTACCTCCCTCGTGAAGGACTTGAAATTGAGAAGGAACCAGTAGCCCGAGAGGTCATGAAGTATTCCCATGCTCCGATTCGGGTGAAATGTGTAGCAACTGGTCATTGTAAACGGATCCTCCCCGCGCCACATGTTCAAGCTCCATTCTCCACCTTATTAAGTAATAGAAGGGGGACAGTAATACATAATCGAAAGACGAAGTAGTAAATTAACTATTGGATTTCAGGGTCAACTTGACGTCTTGAGAATCCTGCCTTTGTGAAATGCAGTACGAAAAGGATAGGCGGAATGAAAACTGGCTATTAAGGCCTTTATGATATATGAGAGGTCCATGGCTGCCTTTTTCTTTCCGCATCCAGTCAACGTGAAAACCGGACATGTGCCATTAGTTTCATTCTTTATGGATGGATAGATTGTAATTTTTTTAATTCTCAGAAATTATGAAGAGTTGATTGATGAAATGTAGCATCAGCATAGCAATTGGTCTGCTCCGGCGCTCTGGGCGTGGAGAGTTTCTTGAGGATTTTTTCTTTGGTTAAGAGAAAATTTCTTTCTTTCGTCAAACTTACTAGTTTTGGTGGGGTATTAATTTCTTCTGACGATTGGGACTGTTAAAAGGCGAACCTACCCCGTATCCTCTGCGAGTCCGAAAATAATCTTCCATCTACTGCTTACCCAATCTCGCACAAATTTAAACTAGAGTACCAACCCAGGTACAGATTTGGCATTCCACTGGCCCCTGTACCACTGCATTTATTATATATATTCACCGCATCCTAACCAACCTTGAAATTAATAATAGTTGTCATTGGTTCGGCGTAGGCCTATACGAAAAGACCTGGACAACTAGACATGTTCTCGAAGGTCCGCGCGTCCGCGTTGCGTGGAGATGGGAGGACAGACATGCGTCTAGCGACAGACCGTCGCCAGCCAATCAGAACGCAGCTCCTGTCTGCGTCATGATTCACGGGCTACCCACGTAGCTCGAACCCATCTCCTAGACTCAAGTGGAAATATGGAAAATAATATGCTCATGGTGTCATGTGGTCTTCTGGTCAAGGTATACCGATCAAACTTGGATATATATTTTTAATTCCCACTGTATTAGGTGTACTAATAATGAGTCGTTATTTATGTTTATCATGGATTCCATAGAGTTCTAGTTCCTCATCTGAATCTGATGTCCTTTCCTGGACTCGGACATTTCTATTTTTAGTCCTTGTTCAAAAATGAGCAGTCATGGGTGAGGGTGCCAAATGTTATGTCATGGAGTCATTCACTTAAAAAAATTAAAAGTTTAAACGATGCAGCACAATTAGATAAGCCTCAGTACGCGTAGGTGTGACGAAGACAAAGGTGCGAGAAAAGGTTTGTGGAAGACCTCTCAAAATGTTGTTTGACTTAAACCGACTGCATGTTTTTCCTTGTTTATGGTAGAATAGAATAGAAATTAAAATAATTTAAACTATCTAACCTTTCAGGCTGGTGCTCATGATTAAATATTATTAAAGGCATTTTTGAGCTTGGGTTCAACAAAGGACAACCTATCAAATGATATATATAGTAACGATGGACACCCTGTATATCATTCTAAGAATTTTCTTCAGCTGAATATGCGGTCAGTGATAAACCAGGTCTAAGTCCACCACTCAGGTCTCAGGATGGTCAGTAATGTCGAACCATGAAAGGTGTCGAGTCCAGGGGCCAGTTGCATTGCCTCAGTTAAGTCAGACTTTCGCGCAAAGTCTGACTTTGGGAGCCTGTTTACCATGCTTCCTAAGTCTGACTTAACGGAAACTTTGACTTAACTGAGACAGTACAACTGACCCCAGGTTCTACACACAGCTACGCAATCTGCAATGATCACGTGGAGCGTTCAAGGGGGATGATGAATGTGGAACTCATACCTGGCGCATGCGCAAAGGGATCACATTCTGATTGGCCGGCGACGGTCTGTCGCTAGACGCATGTGGAGGACAGTATGAAGTGTAGGATGCCAGATACGGCATTTCATGCGTACGCCTAGCAACCCTGTCTACGCGGCCGGGAGCAGCTGCTCTCCTCCATTGTCTATTATGGAACTGTCAACCGCCAGGACTGGAAGGGAAGTGGATGTTTTCGCGAAAGACGGGCACCCCGACCCAGGCGGAAAGCTGCGCGTGCGCATTGGGTCGTGGTGTCCGATTGCTATGGTTACTGCGGACAGACGGAATGAAAAAGGAAAAAAAGAAAAAAAAGTGACAAACCGACCGCAATATCTGGCATTTCCCCATAGTACCTATGGGAATGCCAGATAATCACAAGTTAAAAGTTTTTTTTCAAGATACGAGGTACAGTATGACCCAACAATGAAGGAGATGCTCTTCATTATGGAGAACAGGGGCAAGTTGAGAAATTTGTTTATGGATTAAAGTAGCTACTAGAACTCTCCTCCAACTATTTTCTGGGCTAGAATTGCCTTGAGTATTCTTGGGTTAACTCTTTCGAGAAGTGTTTCGAAGAATTCATCTTCCTAGAGGGTCAACATGGTCGCAGCCTTTCTTCATTTTTCATTCATTCATTTTCTATTCGGCACGTACTGTGAACATTGAGCACTATAAACTTTAACCCTTTTTGTGCCGCCTGGCAAAATTTTCGCCCACGTCTACTATTTCCAAAAATGCTGTAGGCCTATTTTTATGCCATCTAGCAACAAGAACCATGAAGGAAGAGAAACCTTACGAAAAGCCGTGACCGAAAAATCGGTCCACGGCACTAAAAGGGTTAAATTTGCTCAATTGCAGTACTAGACGTTAACCTTCCACAAACTTCATCATTCAGCCATGCATAGTTTCTGAGATTTTTTAAACATCCCCATCCAACTAGAGAGTGAAACTAATCAATCTTCCACCTTGCTTTTCTACTCTGCACGGGAATAAAAAACGACAATGATGAATATACAAGCGATAAAAAGAAGTTCCGTCTCACTCTCTGTGGGGATGGTGTCCCGGAGATCCCAATTGATGTCAGATGCAACTTGCGGCATTTTTGCGGCATTTGTGGTATTTTTGCTTCGCTGCGCCATACATTTCCCGTGGATGTTCAGAAGGCACGCGCCCAAGGATGCGGTGAAATACTCTCCTCTAACCCGGAGGACATCCGCAATCGACTCGTTGCCGATCCTCGTCGGATTTCTTGAGAGGGGCCCACAGATACTTATTTTCGGGGCTCGAAATTCCTCCCTCTCCTGCACTCGGAACGTCGTGTGCGTTGGTGTCAACCGATAATGCTCCATATACGCCAATGCCTCCACAGAGAATTAAAGGATATTGTATCTCTTGAAATGTTGACATTTCCTAAATACTGAAAATGAATGGAAATCGAAAATATGAGACGATGAGATACAACTAATCCCATTTGCGTCGCACTTTTCCTTCTTTATGTTTACCTGGCCTAGATGGAACTCATCTGGAAAGACTAAGGCCAAATAGAACATGCCACTTATAGTGCAAAAACCATTAAGAACGCTTAAACAAGTTCCTTCCCTTGAACCTACGTTATGCGGCAGCAATGATAGCTTGGTATGCTTGAATCCAAGTTTCCTTGTGAAATTATGTTAATTTTTTGTGAAAACCCCATAAATGTACGGTATTTCACCAAGAAAAAGATAATGAAAAGTAATGATAACTTCGAAAAATAATTTTATTGTGAATTCTAATGGATGAGTGAAATGAGCGTGTGAAACGATGAGCATTCAAGCGGGGAAAAAACTGGAAGATTAGGGAAGGAATGGGCGGGAAATTGTGATAGATGAAGCTGTATTTCACGGAACTTTGGACTGATGTTATCAGGACTCTACCAGTCGAGTGGAGTTTTGCAGCTAGCCACTTATGAGACATGATGTGAGAATGGGCATTTTGCAGTAATTTCGTAAAATTTTAGCTCAATATGTGCAATTATATGCTCTTTAAGAGTGGTCGCCGTCTTAAGGGGGAGGAGATCAATTGATGGAGTGAAAATCCCTGAGGAATTCCAAGAAAAAGTTGACTCCCAACGCTGGGCGAGCGTAGTGTCAACAAACAAACGATTGCACTAGCTACCTCACTTAGCAACCAACGTGGGCCCAACTTGGTATTCTGGTTCTGAGTTACCTGTGAAAGGGTAAGGAGCACGGCAAAGACGCCAACGCTGCCCCGGAGAAGGGCGAGAAACCACTTCCCCTTTCTTCTATCCTTTCCGTCGAATGTCTCCATCGTCCTACTGTCCTCTTTCTGCATTCGGTCTGAGTTCTCGCGACACGGTCCACGAGCCAGCCTCGTCTGGGTGGGGAACAGGAAAACTTTCTAGGGGAAACGTAATATTCCCTGATGTGTCGGGCGTGGTGCCCATCGTTCGTCTGTCGATGTGCTGGACATTAATTCGTTAGAGTTCGGCGGATGTTTGAAGAATTGACAGGCCATCCAATCATATCTGACAGGCCGGAAGCCGCCTATTGGAATCCCAGGACTTGGACCTGAGTTCCGCCCGGTATATGGGATTCAGCCTGAAATCAGCCTGCGATTTCCACGCTCTTACCTCTCCCGTCGCTCGAGAAAACAATGTCTTTCTCCAGTTTTCGATCGATGGAGGCATCACTTGGACTCTTTTCAAGGTGTGTTTGACCATACGATGCCTTATCTTTCAAGAGGTGGCTCCTGTATTCTTGATATTAAAAAATGGAATAACCGCCTTGTAGGAGTTTCCATACGACGAATTGAGGGGAGAAAGACGATACTATTTCGGTCTGGATCAGGAAGACTGGATGAGGACCAATGCCAGCCGATTTCGATTCTGGCAACCCCGGAACTCTGGTATTGAACTTTTAAAGTTCATCCGTTTAATCCAAGCTTATAATTCATTAAAAGGAGATCTTCGAGTTTCCATTCCATAAGTGCTTTTTTTTTTAAATACTAAATCTCATTCTGTGATGGTCACTTCTACACTACATGCACTACTTGCATTTACTTTTTTGTAAAGGTTTTTCTCTTTCGAATTTTCTGCGGTCCATTTTTACGTCATTTTTTTTATGGATTGGAAGGATTGGGGCACGGAAGCTGGGCGTTGGATTCCGTCATTATCGGGGGTTCTGCCGTCCTTCCTGATCTCTTCTTCGACGATTTCCAGCATCCTCAACTGAGTCGCAAATCCTGGCTTCATCTGTCCGGATCACATTTCTCTTCTCGTTCAAATAGGTTTGTTTTATGTCTTGGGATCCACGATCGCGTAGCCGACCCAACTTCGAATTTAGATGGTCGATGACGTAACTAGCCGCTTGTTCTCCAGTGTAAATTCATGTACGAGGGTATGTACGTTATTCTCATGCAAGTCGTTCCTGCTGTGACGGATCTTCGTATTCTGATGTATCCCTAGCTCGACGGACGCATTCCTTTCCTTCGGTAATGCGAATGAATCCGGCCTTGAATCAGCCGAGACCAGAGACCTTCACATTTTCCCTGGATACCTCTTGCAATTCGAGGTGTGAATGAAACGACAAGAATTCACGTCTCCTTGAATAATATCCGAAACGAAACGGGAAGAATGATACTGACATCCATTCCCGACGCCTGACTGCAGATCTACTTGGAGAGCGGCGGTGGGAAGGTGTGGGTGGAGTATTCCCCTGACTGGGGGAATCGATGGGAGCTGGTGGTCGGGCCGGAGACAGCCGTTCAATCCAGGATGGATCGCCATTCCATCTACCATCCTCATCCATGGATGGTCTGGCGACTCATCACCATCCCCCTCGACCCTGTTCTTCCATCCAGGTAATTCTCCTCATGTACTTCCTTCCTACCATCTCCAGCTCACAGATTCTCAGATGGTGTCTAAATCTGCAGGTTAATATGATGTAGAGATTAATGTGAATAACTTCGTAGGTATTCGGAAAAGTGGCTGAAGGCCAGATTGTCGCCAAGATCATCGTACTCTCTTAATACGTGTACAGGGAATATCGAGTTATCGATAATATCCTAGGAGTTCTCAGTAGCATTTAGAACAGTTTGAGCATTTAAGTGCATACAATTAGCGAAAATGGCATCTAGGAATTCGGAAGCATTCGGGGGGATTGCTTAAATATGATAATCAGGTAGCAGCTGTGTTTTCCTAGTACAGCAGGTATAATATATCACCGTATAATATCCTGCATATCTTCATATACTGTATATTATCTGCAGGTCATTGTGCATTTGAGGCGTATTGGAACTCACTTCTTTCCTTCCGTTTCCATTCATTTTTTTTTTATGTGTTGCAGGCAGGCCCGTTTCCGCTGGAGACAGGCAGGAAGAGGATGGAAGGAAGAAGGAAAGAGGTGGGGATTAGACAACGTCTACATTGGACCGGGTTGCCCTGGAAACCAGTGTGGTGGCCGAGGTCTCTGTTTCCAAGGCAACAGTTGCCTCTGCTCTGAAGATTTTCGAGCTGGCAACTTTTGTGCCTCTTCCATCCCGCGACCCTCCACCTTTCGAGAGTCCTTTCAGAGTAGGTCGCCTTTATAGGGTCCTTGAACCCGTGGGGTGGATACCAAAGAAGCTTTCCTTTTCTTGATTTCAGATGGGCTGAAGCGGGAGAAATTCTCAGAGTGGCCCAGGGGTTCATCGGAAGGTTGTGAGGGAGTCTTCCAGGGTCTAGGATTTTGCTTCCCAGAATCAAATGATCATATGATTCTGTCCACGATCCCCTTGGATCTCACTAAAGCAACGTAAGTTCCCTCCTTCCGCCTAATGGGGGAAAAAAAAGCACTGCAAAATAATTATGAACCACGCAAAGCGGCAGGGAGACCGATCGTACGCGGATGAAACAGCCTTAGCATGCCGACACACGAGCTTATTTGACATCACAGGGGGGGGGGGGGAAACAGCTCTGACTAGACTAGGACTGACCGATTTCATTCAAAATGTTATTACATTATTATCCATTAGATCATTTCCATCTGTAGTCATGTAAATTTTGGAACTTATTTGGGACACCCGAAGTGTTTACATACAAGCACTTACTTCTTCTCTAGGGTCCTTCATATTTGAAAAAGGATTGCATTTTTGAGCTCAAAAAGGACGCCCTTTCGAAAAGTAAATACTGTATATTTAATACAAATTCTGTTTAGAAGCCAAAACCACCATGTTTTGAGCAGATTCCTTTCTCGAAAATTTCACCTCTCATATTATTCGCTTGTCCTTCAAAACTTCCATTCGCATACCTTTAGATTCCTTTGACATCTTGTGCCTCAAATATAATTTATTTCAATGTTTCAGCGAAGACACAACGAACTTGTGTTGTAATTTTTCCAAAGTTCCCCTCGGATTCTGCCTGAGCCAGTTTTTCAGCGGGATTGTTACCCTCCCGTAGGAGGGCGTGAGAAATTAACTTAGACTCATTAATTGTTCCCCTCCACGGAAATCTTTAGTAAAAGGCGAAAGATTTATTCGCTTTGAAGGGAAACCAGAGTGACAATATTTTGAAATCGGGAGGAATACTTCTTTTGTGCCCTTTCCTCGCCAAGGAGAAGGCCTGTTGTACCTTACATTACAATCTCAGCCTTTCATCAATAATACCATTTTCAGTCATTTTTTAAATTTATTCAATATGAATAAATGCAGGACAGCAACGAGATCGAGATTGAATCGACGCAAGCCACTAAACGCCTATGAATAAAATGGCCATAGCGCGCGACAGCCCAGTGCCGCCATCTATCGTTGAACGCAAATACCAAAGTGCACGATACCCCATTGCAGGTTTCTCCAGTACTACCTGTACCAAGGGCGCGAACCTGGAGGGATCCCTTTATTCGTTCAATATGCAGTGGAACAGGGTATTGCGTGGAAAGACCTTTACATTCATCATCCAATGAACCATTCTCGTTCTCGCAAGGATTCGGTGGAGCGGGTCCACGTAGACCTGCCACCCGACGCGAGAACCAACTCAACTCTCATTAGATTCTGGATTCCCTCTAAGTATGAGGGCACCCCTTCCTGGATCATCGACGAAGTAGGTATAGGCCTACCATGTAATCATGTAATACGTGATGGATTATAATCCACTTTGTTTTTCGATACTAATTAGATCTAACATACGTTGGGTCATTTTGGCAGATCTTCATCTCTGGGCCCGATACGTCTCCTCAAGAATGGAAGCATATTGAAGCAATCGATGTGATGCAATTTACAGCGATGCCAGGAGCTTCTATTGAGAATAAGTCCTGCTCGATCGGGGATATTTCTTTACATTTTTTTGGTAAGTCCATGGAATTATTCGCATCAACGATGGGTTCACCTGACCGAGCGTGACTGCTTCGAATAGGTTTTAATTGTTCCTGGGATCCGTGAAGACTCTCATGAATGAAAACATCGGTCCTCTGCATTCTTCAATAGTAAGGAAATGCTGAAAACGCGGAATTTAGGAAATTACGTGTTCATGACGTCACCTAACTCACCGCATGGCAACCACGTGCTTCTCGTTCGATCTTGGAGCAGCAGAAGTGAAATGCAATATCTTACCTCATACATGAGAGGCAATTGCTATGCTTCAGCCTCACTAAGAAAAATCGTTAAAAGAAAATGCAATGTCTGTTGATCTAGCTAGGCCTAACGTTTGGTTCACGTTTTATATATTCCCGGTAGCAGGAACCTACATTCTTTTTTACCTGTGTTTCCCACCCCTCTGGCCATATATCACCATCCATCCCAATCCCCATACAATCTCAATACCATGGCTTGTTTTTTTTTACTCCAAAACTGTTAGGAATTACTAGCACTTTTTTCTGCGAGGCACTTGGTCTCCACAACAGGACCTGACTGTCTCCTTCCCAATGAATGACATGATATCTGTAGTAGAGATTAGATCAACTCAAGGGAGAACTATGGCTCAACGGACTAGGTCAGTGATGCAAGACTAGACCAAGGGTGTTTGGGGTATAGCTATCATTGCCATGATGTAGTCTTGAACAGAGTTTTTTTTTTCACTCTATGCAGGACTAATCTCATAGCCTATTAAATCAAGCCTTCCACTTCTGTGAAGTAACTTTAATCTGAATTCTCACCCTCTACCTTCCAAACCCTTACATCCCTCATCCTACCATGCCTAAGCTTTTGAAGCTCCACCCCTGACTGAGGCATGTAAAAAGAGGGAGATATACAGGGATTAAACCTGGGATGGTCAGATTAAGATTGCAGTCATTAGCCATATAGTTACCTGCTCTTGCTGATCACCAAAGGGGAATGGAGCAATCTTAAGAGACCCTATTTTATACTACACATGCATTAGGGCTGAGTTTGACCCTGAAGTCAGGATAGGAGCTTATCAGCCGCTTCTACTCTCAATATGACCTATTATGATCTGGAACTGTTCCATACTAACCAGTCACCCCTGCTCTCATATATGACGGAAATCAGTTTACAATAATGTCAAAGTTATTATAGATTAGGAAATGGCTCCTTACCCCCAAAGCTAGGCAGGGCATGGAAGCTATAGCTTCCATGCGATACTTGGCTTCACTTTACCATAGCATACTGTGAGTCTGATTGAACTCATGCTGTCTTTGGAATATTAGGATCAAAACTAAAACCTAATGATGATAGACCTATTATATGAAAACTGAAAGAAATGAATTAAAAGCCCCATTCATCAAAACTACCACTTGTTTTTCCAAAAGTTTGGGATATAGGCCCAGGAATGCACTTTAGCTCTTGATATTTTTCTTTCTCTTGTTTAAGGAACTAACATAGCAGTCTTTCTAGAACTTGGCTCTGGTACGCTCTGTCTCTTTCATCGAAGCTTTTTTTTTTTAGACTATCAACTGTCTAGAGGACTTTCCATTTTGTGTATATTTTCCCATAGCCTGACAATTCAATAGATCTTATATTCAATCAAGAAATAACAAATGGATAATGAGGTTGGTGAAAAAGTAACTTGCTTGCATGTATGCATTTATATTTGGCCAGTTCACATGGCCACCTCAAAAAAACCTAAATTATGAAAGACCATGAACAAATTTGATAAAGATTCATAACATCCAGGTTAAAGAAGTGGAATAAAAGAGGTGACTACATGGAATAGTTGAGCAGAATGTAATGCTACTGTTGAATTGATAGACCTCATGAAAGTAAGTTGGACCTACTTTTTGCTTCATCATATTCTTCCCTCTATGATGCAGGGTCTAGTAATTGCTTTGTTTCATGAAAAGTATGCTTTATAATTTACTGTGCCAAGGATTTTTTCATTTTGCAACTTATGGATGGTGCAAAAAGTTTTGTTTCTGTCACAGATGGGTCTGGTCTAGATTATATTGAAAGCATTGACATTAACACTGGACCACATCACTTCCTGCAGTTTTATTTGACCATGGACTGCCAGAACCAGGGCCTCTGTTTTGGTATGATGCATTATTTTTGGTGTAAAACCCCTCCTTCCCTTTCTTAGGTGCTATTTTAACAGGAGTTTAATACTTGTATAGTGGTTTCCTTGGAGTATTCATGGGATGCAGGAAGGACTTGGTCTCCTGTGGAACCTCCATGTCTTTCCTGTCATACAGGCAGACATCATACCCATACATCGTCCTTCCTTGCTGACCAGTTCACATCTCCCAGTAGGGTCCTTATACCCTTTGCAAAGCTTGTCAAGTGAGCATAGAAAATTTCTACTAAAAATTACAAACTCAGCATTATCTGGGATTAGTTTTGTATTCTTTTGCTTGAAGAAACTGACATAGTTCTATCAACTTGCACCACAAAAATGAAAAACTAGTTGCAGGATAAATCCCAGTAAAAACTTTAAACTGGATTGATTGCAGGCACCCTAAGACCATAAGAGCAGTTCGATTCCGGTGGCAGCCTCATGGAAAGCCAGAATCCCCAAGAATATGGTCACTGGGCAAAATGTACTTTGGAAGTACCTGTCCTGGCCTCTGCTCTGGTCATGGTTATTGTAATGGAACAACTTGCATCTGCGATCATGGCTGGGATGGTCTCTTTAAATCCTTTTTCTTGCCCCTTCATGTGTCTTTTCTATCTGGGCTAACTTGTGTTGGGTTTGATACACAGGGAAGAGTTGTGCAAAGCCAATTTGGAGTCTTCAATCTCGTCTCCAAGATGATTTTAATGTCTTGGTAAGAAGCAAACTTTGGAGAAGAGTCCTTGGTGCTTCCATCTCTTCTCTCTGTGGAAAGGTTTTCCATGGTCCATCACTACATTTTCATGGGGTCAGTGATTTTAACATTGCCCCATGTTGTAACTTTTATGTAGATCCTGTCAGTTCATGTTTTCTGGGTAGCATAATTTTTAAATTATTATATCCGTTTTAAAAACTTCAACCACCATGAGGTATCTAATATGCTTATTTTCATTTTTTAACTCGTGAATGATCATTGGAGTCCAAATGGACCCCAAAGCAGTGGACAGCAGTATTTCTGATTTCTTGCTTGATAATTTATGAGTTGATAATCTAATACCCCAGGCTATCATTGCAGAATTGCAGTCGATTGGCAGAAACTGTGGAGTTGGACCTTCGACAAGGAGTGTTCTTCCAATTTCATTTTCGTTTTGGCTGTTCGGGCACATCTGACACAGTAACAAACAGAGATGTCCTTGTGCAATACACAAATAATGGGGGCATTGATTGGCAAACCCTGACCAGGCTTCCTTTGCTTCAGTCCAACCAAACCCAGTAAAATAGTCCCCTCCATTTTGCATCAAATGCAGGGTGTCCCAAGAGTAATGCCCTGTGGGGAGACTTTCTGTCACTAAAGGTAATTAAATGGGAAATCATTTTAGTGAAAATATGGAATCATTGCAAGTGAGCATCTGGAGCACCTGTCTTGATGGAAAGAAATTCTGGCTTAAAATAATTGGTTCAAAAAGCCAGCTTCTTGTATATCCCCAGAATCTGTCTTCAAATACAGATATCTGAAGGCCTAAGTTTGTTAGGGAAGTCAAGAAAGCTGCAGTAGCCTGACTACAAGAACATTCCACATGATTATGTTCTGCAATATAAGAACCTAAAGAGTCTGAGCAAAATCAATCACTGCTCCAGAGAATGCTCTTTCAAGCATGGATTTATTCTGTGCAGATGTGCATTCTTTACTGTGAGGAATCCAATGAAGCTCAGTGAGCAGATTAAAGGATTTGAAGGGCATTCCATGTATTTTTTTTAGTGACACATTTCTCTGTACTCCTTATTAATTTCCTGGAAAAAAAAAATCTCATGGGCATAACTTTTCAGACACCCTGTAGAATCTTTGGAACTTGACAGTACATAAGTATTCCTATTGGCAGGATGGTATCATTGGTACTTCCAGACGAGGCACGAACTCTGGGTGTCTCGTTTCGATTCCTTCAGCCTGGTGAACATGAATGGTCTGCTGGAGATTGGGCCTTGGACCATGTACACATTGGGGGACACCTTGTACCTCCAAACTCCTTTCATACCCAGGACCTGCAACCTGAGGTCCAAAGTGATGGCCGAATCATCTACCCTGAGGACAATCCTGATTACACCAATGAATTCCTGTCTATGGTTGATGTGAAAGCTGTAAATGGATATTGCAATGAGTCAGGTGTGACACTTGTGGGGCATGAGGGCTTGAGAGCTGTGCTGGAGACCTCAGCTGTGGATGTGAAGCCTGGGTGGATGCTCCAATTTCGATTTGCTATTGGGTGTGGGTGGGGTCAACAATGGGCAGGGCATCATGCCCTCAGGCTAGAATATTCTTTGGATCACGGTTTCACCTGGAACCTGATACAGAGGCATTGTCCTACAGGAGGCTTATCCTGTAAAAGTCCAAGAACACCCACAGTCTACTATGGTCCATTCCAATGGACACTTGTGACCATTATCCTTGATGAGCAGCAAGCCAGTGGGTAAGTTTTCCTACAGAAAGAAAAATGTACAGTTAGTTCTGTTGAGAAGTTATTCCTGTTTCTAAAGACCTACAAATCTGTTGCACTTTCCAGATCAACCCAGTTTCGTTGGATGCATCCTGGAGCCCCTAGTAGCTGGGGGGTAAAGGACATTTATATTGGTCCTCCATGTCCATTGGGGTGCTCAAACCGAGGACTTTGTTCAGTTTCATCTCAACGCTGCACATGTTCCACTGAATTCTATGGTCATGGATGCCAGTTCTCAGATCGCCTCCCTGTAAGAGTTGAATATCTTTACTTTTTTTTCTCTGGTTTATCCTCTTAATCTTTAATAATGCATGGGGTGATTCATTGGGTAGACTTACCTGAAGGAGGACTTCTCAATTGGTGAGAGAAATCAGTCCTTATGGGAGCATTGGCAGGGGAGTTGGCCAGGTCGCCCATGCCATTCCTTGGGGACCTCTCCTGCTCTTTTGGCCTTGGGTTCCAAGGATAGATCTGTTCTCACTCAACCTCTGGACCTCAGGGATGGAGACTTCATCAGATTTATCATGGGTTTTGGGGGCTCTTTCTCTGATGAAAGGAAACCATGCTTTGTGTCTGAAGAAAAAGACTCTCAAAGTGTTTATCTCCGATATTCATCTAATGGGGGTCAGTGTCATTTTCTTTTGCAATTGTTGCTTACTAAGTGATTATGCTGAATATCCTGCTTAAATGCTGCAATTATATCCCATCAGGTGTTACATGGGACATATTGAGGGAAATCAATCCACTTGAGTTTCTAAATGGGCCCAAGGAGCTCTACTTCCCATTACCAGAACAAGCCAAAGCCCTTGGAGTTCAGTTCCAATGGTGGCAGCCCTTGATTGATGACCATGGCCAATCACAAGGATTTGCTCTCGATGATGTCTTCATCGGTGGGCTTACTTTTGTGAATGTGACTTTCCCCTCCTTGCAATGAAACGAGAACTTTTATTCTAGGGGGAAGAAGTGTGAATCTCCCTCATCTCTACTTGGACTTCAACAATGGCATACCCAAGGATCATATCAGATTCCACCCTCATGGAAAACTACAAAATGAATTCTGTTCAAGGAAGGATCCTGTTTTGGCATGGGATGCTACATTGGCTGAAGCCAGAAAGGAATTGACTACAAGCAAAGTCATTGTCTGTGCCGACTACATTGTGCAGTTTAAGGTATGTCTGCAGTCAGATGAACATAATCCTAATATCACTTAACATGGAATGGTAGAGGACACCTTATGATGCAACTTTTACTCTATGTAGATATCAGTAGGATGTACCCAGGGTTGTAGCTTAGGGCATGAAGTGGCATTGGAGTATCGGAAAGACCCGATGGGGGCTTGGAGGCCACTACTTTCACCCTGTCTCCCAGCAACTGTAAAAGGCCCAGACCAGCACTGCTTTCCCAGTCAGTTCCACTCAGGCACCCACTATTTCCAGAGCTCTCATGCTTCATGGACCCGCATCACACTTCCTCTTCCAGATGAGACCTTTTCTGGGTAAGCTTCAATTCAATCATATATCTCATTTTACTTCAATTTCTTCATAAGTGATATACCAAACTCAAATATTTCCCTGGACCCATGATGGGGTGTTTCCATGCAGAGAGACTGAGTTCCGCTTTGTCCAGAAGACACCACCCAATGCCCAACCTCTGATCTGGGCCCTGGATGACCTTTATATAGGAGAGACCTGTCCTCACCTATGCCATGGAAGAGGAGATTGCAGGTTTGGGTCCTGCATCTGTGATCCCCCATACAAAGGTCCTTTTTATTTCTTATTAATTTGATATACATACATTTAGGATCATTTGATACTTACAGAATGGTGCTCTTCCAATTTTTCATTATTATTCTTTTTGTTCCAGTTCTTGTTTCTGTTTTTTTATTTTCCATTGCACAGTTTCAGTTAAAGCTACTGCCTACTGCCAAGAGGAACTGGTAAAAGATGCAGTATATTTGTTGTGTTTTGTCTATGAATTCTCAGACTATATGCTGTTTGTCAGATATGAATCATGGTGACACCCACTAGCTGTCAGAAAGTGAGGTTGATTGATGTAATATATCCAATGTGCATACTTTAACCCTTTCGTTGTGTGTATACTTTTTGGTTTTGGGTTTGGTGACATATTCCTATTGCTTAATGGGAATAAGATCCATTGGGAAACTGTCATAAGGCTATTTCAAATAAGCAAAGGATTGACTGAAGTTAAATGTGCTTCAAGCAGACAAAATATTTGTGGATAGTTGAACTTAACTGTCAAAGGGTATGATGTGTAGTTCAACTATTGTCTAGCATTGCAGCAAAATTGTTAAGAAGCCTTTGACTCTGAAATGCAGGTTAGAGAGGCTTCCTGATATTTGCCCAGATGTCAGCCCTATTTTCTCAATTGCCAAGCTTTCCCATGGCTATGGCTGGAAGAAAGTTGAGACAGATATAGGATACAGGATGATCTGCAAAAAGTTATGTTTGTAAATCAAGATAAAATCATTTGTCAGGTTCTGTAGTGCATGATTTTACAGTGGTTTCTTGGATATTTACAATTAATAACATTATCAAACATGGGGAAACATGAGTTTCCTTTCTGCTAGTGTAATTTTCATGTTGATATTTGTGTTGATATCTCTTATCAGTTAATCACTTTGGTAGATAAGCTCTTGGGTCACTATTGGCCCACCATCAGCAAACCACAGCAATACTACACATTGATGCAATATCATGATAGCATCATTTAAACTTATTGTCATGTGTCAAGTGCATTAGCCTGTTGCATGTTGAGATAAGGCAGCACTGTGTCTTGCTTGCTCTGCCATATTATCAAGAATGTGAAATGAGAGCTCTGAATTTGACTTCTTGCTTTTTTTATGAGCTACACTGGATATATGTATGTGTGGATGAAGTAGGACCATTGTGTCTTTTATATGTTGTCCTAGACAGTAGAATCTACCTTTAGAGAACACCCTGTATGTGATGATTTTTCTCTGTTGTAGAAGACCATTGCAAGCCAGACCATCACATTCCAGACTCATTCTCTGAGACCTTTGAAAGCAATTTGAACCCACACCTTTGGTCAGTGGTTAGGGGTGGAAGACTCGGAAAAGAATGTGGTGACTCCACCTCGCTTTTCCGTGGGAATCAACTTTACTTCTCTGGCTGTGGGACTCGAGAAGCCATTACCACAGACCTCAATACAACACACACTATGTGAGGAAGCCAAAAAAATAACAGGTCACTTGTTGCAATTGACATCTAAATCTTATCTCTGAACATATTTTCTGAAATGAACAGCAAGTTGAGTTTTGTGCTGAGAATTGGGAGTCCTGGGCACAGGCCCACATGTTCCATTGACCTCAGGGACCCAGAGGAGTCCATAAACAAGGGGGTGGTGCTTCAGGTTTCCCAGGACAATGGAATTCACTGGATAACCCTTGCCTACCATCACCCATCTCTCTTCCTCCAAGTATCTACCTTCTCATTTTCCCTCCCACTCTCTATTCTCTGCCACTTAATGCAGAATAGGGAAATTGAAGACAGAACTGATGAAACTATCACATATAAAATAAGAGATAAAAGCATTAAAGCAGCAACAATAATGGTAATCGATTGTAAACTACCTGAAATTAAACTTCAGCTCTTGAAGAATGTCTTTCATGATATTGAAACTTTCTTGAAGCTTGAGAAGTAAAGTTTACATGATTTTTCATGCTGGTTATTTTTATAGTATCTTTTCTTAACACGTTGACGACCAGCCTATTTTTGCTTGTCCGCCGTGTGGGACCACGTGCATCTTTTTTGTCAAAAAATGCGTCCTGCCATCAGGACGCATGATCACAGAAAACATTTTTTTTGCCGAGTTTTTTTTTAATTTTGAATTTTTTGGAATTTTTATCAGTAATTATGAAATCATATTCATCTGGAACGTTCTCAACAGTTCCAGAGGGTATTCGTTGGAAAAAAATCTGCATCCTGGCATCAGGACGCATTGTCGCCAACATGTTAAATATCTCTTCCTTGTGTATTTTCCTTCTTTCTTTGTGCTTATCTGTTATTGATATGCCATTTTAAATTACTCCCATGACCTGCTAACACCTTCACTACGTATGTGATGAAACAACATTGGTGCAAGAGTATGCCACTAAGCCCCAGCTCTGATTATGAGTTGCCTTATAATGTGTGGGTAGTAAGGAGCAACTATAGCATATAATATTAAGATAACCCTTTTGTGGGCTGTGGAATATTACTTCCAAATGAATTCTTATTAATCAAATGAATCTTATTAATCAAAAATCAAATGAATTCTTATTAATGCTTGGAAAACCAACTTTCTCTGATACTGATTGATATCAGGAGGAATTCAGTATTGGTCATGATCTGTTCCTTGTCCTGCAAAAGACACCATTTGAATGTTTCTGTGTAATTTATTTAATAGAAGGAAAAACCAGGGAGATATGCCAAATTTCCCAGATAAAAATTGCCCATGAAAAGGTTAATAATGTGAAGATTTTTTGAGGAGCTTGTAACTTTGTATGAGATATTAGCTATTGCTCTATTTAACATGTTCACTCACCTTGTGCCCAATAGAATACAGGGGCTGAAAAGAGTTTTTAATCATTTTAAGTATATTTTGCCCATAAATTCATTCATGAGATTCTTGTCCTGATGCAAGAAATCAATCAAGACATTTTCAAGGAAAATGTATCCATGGCAATTAATTAATTTTCTAATTATAGCTGATATTGTAATTTTAAAAAAATGGAAGTCAAGGTTGATTTGTATATTTTATGATGTTATGAATGTTTTTATGCAAAAATAACCTTGAAAAATAGAGAGAAAAGAATGAGGTACTAAAAGGGTTAAAGGCATGGGGTGCCCCTATTGCTGAGAATGAAGGAGATATAATAGGGAAAGTTGGAACAGTGGAAAGAATAGGATAGATAGCAAAGAGATATACTAGTACTTGGAATATATTGAGTTTTTCACACTACCAATCTTTCTGAGGGACTCAGAGGTTCATTATGGTGCAAGAAAAGCAACTCAAGCCAGTTGATACATGCAGGCATTCAACATCAAAAAGGCTCAAGTCCCATTGGATCTTGGAAGATGTGCATATTAGTAGTTATGTGATGGCTAGAGTATGGGTGAAGATTAAAATATATGTTGTAAAGGTACTACTGATGCTGGGAATTGTGGACCCCTGTGAGAGGTTGTGGATGGGGTTCTGAAGTTTGTATATTGCTGAGATATCTTGTCTTGAATGGAGAATGATTGAACTATGTCAGTGTTGCCAGTAAATGTATGCATCATGCTTAAGAGCCAGACAATCATGTCAACAGGAAAACTGAGAATGGGCAAGAAGGGCTGGAAGTTAGAAATCCTGTAGCAATGGAAAGTAGAAAATCTCTTGTCAATGCAGATACTAATGCCATGCCAGTGCCATTGTGGCAGGAACATAGTTGTCATATCTTTAGTAAGGAATGCTTCAATTTCCCCTCCAATTGTGGATTCAGGATGTTAGCCAGCTCTCATTGCCCCATCTTGGCATTCAAGGCACCACTAGCAATGCACCTCACTGCAGCACTGAGGTCTTGCTGATGGATGAATTTTAAGAATATCAGAATAAACGTTTTTTCAATGGCACTAAATGTCAGCAGCAGCTGCTTGACATTTGATACTCTCTTTTTGTCCCAGCCCTGTAATTTTATCCTAAGTTTTATCTGGGTGTTTAAGGATGGAATATGCACCATTCAATGTTGTTAATAAATACAAAATTGTGGGTAAATCATCTGTTCCACACCAATATTATTAAGAAACAACAGTTCGCTTTTGAATCCCTCAGTTACAGTACCCTAAAGGAGACTCAACATTTCCCATCCCATATTAGTTCAAATGAAAAGTCCCTGTTGATGTAGAGTTCAGGACCTCACCCCTTCACTCTTGCACCCAGTATTGTTTCATTACGTATGGTATGGACCATGGGTGTAGGATGAAAGAGATTACGAAATTAACATCTCAACAATGTAGGATTTCATATTTTTTCCCAATAACTAAAGGAATTTCAGTGAAGGACTTTATCCTTATTTTTTTTCAGGCAAAGAAGGTGATGTATTCTTTGCCAGAAGAGGCATTGGGCCCTTGGGTGAAGTTTCGCTGGTGGCAGGCTTTCAATTCTGGACCTGACCGGGATCAATGGGCCATTGACAACATAAAGCTCATCTCGTATGTCCCCTCCTTCTCATCATAAGTCATACATGTGTTCATGTCTCTATCTGGATCTTACCTTTGTTTTTGTATCTATTGCAGAGCCAGTCAGCAGTATGAGCATATGATCAAAGTCTCCAGTGATCATGGCCAGGAACTCTGAGGGCATGTTCAAGTCCTAATATGAATCATTCTTCTAGTCATATTGTCATCATTGTTTCTTGTCCCCAAGATAGGATATATCATAGGATATATTGTTCCTTGTTAATAAAGATGAAATGAATGCTAAGCATGCCTCTTTCCAATGCCAGCTTTGGAATTCATTATCAGTGAAAGTTTTTCATAATCCAGCTTTCCATTGATGCACTATTGGCTAGAGTTTTTGGATAAACAGTACCAAGGGAAAAGAAAGTACTATACCAGCTTTAGGAGGGCAAGGAAAAGAGAGTGGGAATCGATATTCTTGGAATGATGTTTTCATTGCATTGAATGGAAAATGTAGGTTAATTTTAATTTGTGTTTTGAAAACAGTCTGTAGTCATCATCGACTTAGCTCTCATTGTCTGGGAAGAAGAAATACATTTTTGGCTATCCTGGATCAGGGAAAGAATTTTCCGTTCTATAAGGGGGAATTAACTTTTCTCAGCAAAGGGTTTACTTAACTGTTATTTTTCAAGTGCAAGATCTGGGTGGTAAAATAGTTCTTTCATAAGAAGTAGTCCCATAGTCATGTCTCCTCCTTGTTCACGTAGTTTATTTCCCAAATGGCATCAATTTATTGACAAAGAATCCACACCTACATGCTTTTGTGTCGTTGTCAGTAGTGAGCTTGCGATAATCTTCACTTTTACCTATTTCCTTGGAAATAGCTATTTTTATTTTATCAATTTAACTTAAAGCGAGTAATTTTCATCCTGCAGAAGCCTTCTTGCAAATATCCAGGGGGTGGAGTAATGACTTCCTCAATACACTGAAGCGACTCCATTCGAACTACCACTAGATCTCAGCAGCACTAATTAAAAAAAGGTTTCAGCATATTTTTTTGCTCCCAAATGCAGATTTTGAAGTAGTTAAAATTCCCGATGAATAGCAGTTTATCGTAATTTTTCCAAAATTGTTCCCCCGTTAGACTGCTTTCCTCTCCACGGACCATGTCCTTTTGAGAGAAGAAATATATTTTTTAAAAAGAAGAAAGACTGAATAGTGCCCGGGGACGTCTTGACAAGCCTATCGTACGTCACTCTCAGATCCTGGAAGATATGGCTATCACGCGAGAAAATTCCTAAACTGGAGTCCTGGTCCACGTTAGACACTATCGCGCCTCCCACAACGTTAGCCGATCTCGATACTATTCCCAGGCTATTGTAGACATATAAATTTGCATTGAAATATATGCTTGCTTTTGCTTGTCCTAAGACAGAGCAAGGCAGCAGAGAAAACGTTGATTCGGATGTGCCGATCGCCGAAGACGCAGCGAATATTTCGTACCTGGAGGCATAAGGTATGCCTCGAAGAAATGCTCGAGGCATACCTTATGCCTCGATCCCACCTTTTGTGGGATCGTATGTCCAAGGATTTGTTGAGTGCCAAACTACAGAGCTCTCCTTCCCTTGTTTCTAATTTGCGTGTGGCTTGTTGGTATGGATGTGTCTCTGATACGGATGTCACACGACATATGACACGATTTAACGAATGACTACATCTAGGGTGAGGTGACTTTCGTTCAAAGAAGTAACTAGTCTGACGATGGACTCCTACTGAGATGATATTATCGCTGTGGAGGCTGCGATGGTGTCTCTATCGTGCACCCCGACCGCCGAAGACTTTCTCCCAGTCAACTGTGCTTCAGTAGGACTTTCACGAGTTTTGAAAGGAAATGGTCTTCCAGGAGTTAATCCCCTTGATTCTCATCGACTGCAGCATCTTGCTAAAAGCGACTATCTAGTGAAGGGGGGGGGGGGGGGGGGGGGGGTCCCCCCCCCCCCCCCCCCCCCCCTTCACTAGATAGTCGCTTTTAGCAAGATGCTGCAGTCGATGAGAATCAAGGGGATTAACTCCTGGAAGACCATTTCCTTTCAAAACTCGTGAAAGTCCTACTGAAGCACAGTTGACTGGGAGAAAGTCTTCGGCGGTCCCCATGGTCACCGGTTGCTGGGTATCCTGTCTTTCCAGTTTGCCTATGGGGGGGAAGTTCGTCGCCGTTTTTCCTGTGTTTTGTATTCACTGTCAGATTGCGACATCGAGGAAAACGCTTGACGTCATCTCTATCAACATTTTCGTAGCGGAAAGCTCCTGACACTAGGAAGTGACCCGCTCGTAGCTTCTTTATCACGAACAGCAAGATTGCTATCTATATATCAAGTTATGGTATGCATAGGTCTCGTCTAAGCTTCCAAGACGTATATTGTCTTGCCTCTTCCGTTGTCGCCACGTCGATTGCAAGGACCGGCAGCCTCATCCAGAATGGGGCGAAGGCCGCTTGTCCAGGCCGAGAAGGGCCCCTTCCCTTCCCGAGAAGGGCAGAGAGTGGATCTGTGAGAGAGTCATGCTGAGTCATGTAATCGTCTCACATTACGGTGGCCTAGATCTCCCTAAAAATGAAGCGTCATGGAATAGCATTGGGAGTTTCTACTTGGTTCATCTACTACAGCGAGAAACAAGGAAATCGCTGCGGAAATCCGTACGGTTCTTACAAAAGCACGCGAGAAATGGAATGGCGGATTGCACCGAAGGCAGCTCACGTATTTCTCCATCACTTCCGCCATCCCTCCACAACGCGACTCCACCAAATCAATGCATGGAATCAGCCGAATCTAGAAGCAATGTCGATCATGGGGCTCTGATGATTTGTGCAGCGAAGTGGAAGATGCCGGCTGGGGCACTCCAATATCTGTTTCTTCTCCAATTGTTAGATGGCGCCACTGGTGAGGCGGATGGCTTAATCATCACGTGCATCCTATCTCAATCTGATTGAAGGAGCATATTTGGTTGCGTATTTTCTTTTCTAAGTTCCAGTTGGGAGATTATATTGAGCCGTACAAAAAATGCATAACATCCTTGATGTTAAAGGCCTCCTCCTTCGAAAAAAATGTTGAGAAGGGCGACGGGAGCGAGAAACTTATCTTATCCAGGTTCAGACTCTGCTTTCATTTCCTTACTCTGGTTTCCCTTCAAAGCGAATAAATCTTTCGCCTTTTACTAAAGATTTCCGTGGAGGGGAACAATCAATGAGTCTAAGGTAATTTCTTACGCTCTCCTACGGGAGAGTAACATCTTGACAAAATTATTTCAGGAACAGAACTCGGCCAGTAAGTTAATTTAGAAATGTTTGGCGATTAAGTTAAATGCGGGCATTATGGGCAAGTAAGTGAATAGGACTGCTGACAGTCTCTCGTTCTTTGTGAGCCGTAGAACGTCCATGGGCAGCAAGGTAAGAAATGGAAGCCTTGGAACTTTTTTTTAGGAAAGAAGCAGTGGCGGCACGTGGTTTGAAGGGTGGGGGGGGGGGATGCATGATATCAAGGGCAGGGATTAGTCAAAATTTTACGTCTCGTAAAACACATGACGCAATGCATATCATGAAGTGAATATTTTATGACTTAGCGTGAAAATTAAGATTAATAAATGCAACAGTCGCAGATATGGGGCTGGTGCCAAGGCAACATATTATCTTTTTCCACTGGAATGTTTCACCTAGTAGATGCAACGCTAGGGAAACTGACGCAAATGTTCCTCGCGCGCCTGCGCGATGTCTGGCGCCGGCGCGCCATGTGGACTTGGGAGGGAATTGCAAAGCCCGCTTGTCAAGCTACGGCCTGTGTGGCCGGACCCCCGAACGTATATGAACGTGGCCGAATATTTTCGTAAATGCTACATGGAGAGCTGCAAGGGCATGAAGCCCTCGTACTCCATAGTGCTCTGTTGCGAGTATGCGCGTGAAACGGGGAGGGCGCACATGGATCATATACCTCAATGTCAGGGTCGGATTAAGAAGTTGCGAGGCCCGGAGCAAATGGATTCTTGAGGCTAACCCCCCCGCTACCCGCTACTTTACGCAAATATTTTACGTTTTTAATTTCCTTTGGGGGGGGGGGGGGGGGGGGGGGGGGGGGGGGGGGG